GCCCTTCGTCGCCTTCGCGCTCGCCGTGTCCCAGTTCATCGGCTAGGCGCCCGCCGCGACGGCGAGACAAGGGACCCCCCCCCATTCCCCCCACGAGAAGACTCGGAAGCGAAGCTTAAAATCGGGCGCCTACCAGCAGAACGCCTTGTCGACGTAGTTGTGGAGCGCGGTGTCCGTCGCCGGGCAGGACGCGGACAGCGCGGCGAAGTTGGCGCTGAGGCAGTCGGAGCAGGCGTTGTCCGCGACGGGGTTGCTGCCCTGCTCGGCGCCACAGGCGTCGAAGGCCGCGGAGAGGCAGGCCGCGTCGACGTTCGTCGACGCCGTCTCGTAGATCTTCGACGCGGACCGCTGCGGCGTGAGCGTGCACGTGCGCGTCACGGGCGGGCCGTAGCCCGACGCCATGCAGTCCGTCTGCATGGGGCCGTTGGGCAGCGCGCCGGTCTGGGCGCCGTACCAGCCCGCCCACCGGTCCTCGCCGACCTGTTGCAGGTCGTCGTAGTCCGCGAGAAACGGCACCATGACGTCCGGGAGGAAGGTGAAGTAGAGCTTGCCGTCCTGGACGACCCAGTTGCGCACGTCCGTCGGCGGGCCCATGTGCTCGCGGCTCCAGGGCCAGCCGACGGTGGGGTCCGCGGCGTCCATGCCGACGTCGCCGTCGGTTCCGAACTCGGACGTGATCCCGAACGCGCAGAAGCCGCCGAAGCGCGGCAGGTAGGCGCCGGGGTTCGTCGCGAACTTGGCCAGGTGGTCGGCGCTGCTGAAGTACCACGTCGACTCGTAGCTCTCGCCCCGGTCGTCGGTCGTGACGAGGTCGTGGCGGTACGCCGCCGACCCCGCGACGGGCGCCGCGCCCGCGGGCAGGGAGAAGAACGCGACGACGTCCGCGCCGCCGAGGGCCGGCGTCGCGCCGTCCCCGAACTCGGGCGCGCCGGCGCCGAACGCCTCCTTCCGGTTCGTGTCGATCTGCGCGAGCCGCGGGTGCGGCTCCGCTTCCATCTGCAGCGCGGGCTTCACCGGCTGCACCGTCAGCGCCGCGCCGAGGGCGACGACGAGGAGGCAGGCGCCGACGACGCCCGCGAGCTTCGCCACGGGCACGGACCCGCCGAGGGACCGCGGCCGGTGGAGCGCGCCGTCGTCGAGGCCGCCGTAGGACGACACGCCCATGGGCGCGAGCTTGCTCCGGCTCGACGCCGCCGCGCGCATGGCCCGTTCCGACCCCTCGAGCCGGAAGGACCGCGTCGTGTCGTCCGTCGTGTCCTTCGAGCAGAGGGTGGTGTCCATCTCGGTCGTCGAGCCGAGGCGACGAGCTGGGCGTGACGAGTTTCTCCCATTTCCAAGATTTTGAGGTGATGTTGACGTCCTTGACGTTGCCCCGAGGCTCGACGAGTACTTCGACGAGTCCTCCGATGAAGTCCGTAGCCCATCCAGTTAGAAGTCGTCGCTCCCGAACTCGGAGTCGAAGTCGGAGTCGGAGTCGGAGTCGACCTCGCCGGCGACGGCCTTGCGGTTCTGGAGGAGCTGGAGGACGGCCGCGTCGCGCTTCTCCTCGGGCCGCGGCCGGTCCTCGTTGACGACGACGTGCTTGAGGCCTTGCTCGCCCTTCTTCAGCGCGTCCATGAGGTTGGACCGCCCGCTCTTGCGGCGCGCGACGACGACGGTCTTCTTGAGCTTCGCGTTGCCCGCCTTGATCGCGTCCATGAGGCCGCCGCCGGACGACGGCGCGGCCGCGGCCGGCGCGCCCGCGGCGGGCTTCGGGCGCGGCGCCGGCGGCGGCGGGAGCGCGTCGAGGTAGGCGGGCCGCTCCGGGACCTCGGGGACGTCGTCGGGGTGCGCGTAGACGATGTTGCCCTCGATGAAGTCGATGCCGTGCGCCTCGCGGAACTCCCGGTCCATGCGCTCCTCCTCCGTCTCCGGCTCGGGCTCGGGCTCGGGCTCCGGCTCGGGCTCCGCGGGCTCGGGCTCCGGCTCGGGCTCGTCGGTCTCGTCGAAGTCGTCCGCGGGCGGCGCCTCCGGCGGCGGCGGCGCGGCCGGCGGCGGCCGCGGCGGCGGCGCGCCGGGCGGGGGCGGGCCCGGCGGTTTGGCTGCCGGCGGAGGCCTCGGCGGCGGCGGGCCGGGCGGGCCCGGCGGCGGCCTTGGCGGCGGCGGCGCGGCCGCGACCGGCGGCGGCGGGCCGCGCGGCGGCGCGGCCGCGGCCGGCGGCGGCGGCGGCGCCGCGGCGCCGCCCTTGGGCGTGAGGCCCGGCAGCATGGACACGTCGCGGCCGAGGGCGCGCTCGGGCCGCGCGGCGAGGGTCTCGCCGCGGTGCCGCTCCGTGTCCCTGAAGCGGGTCACGCCGACGACTTTGCCGACGGCCTTCTTCATGCGAGAGAACAGCCCCTTCTTCTTCTTCTTCTTCTCGGACGTGCGCTCCGCGGCGGCGTCGGCGGCGGCGGCGTCGGAGGCCCGGAGCTCGTCCTCGCTGAAGAGCACGGGCGGCGGCCGGGACGTGCTCTTCCGCGGCGCCGGGGACGGCGCGTCGGCCGCGTCCGCGTCGCTCTCCGAGCCGCTCTCAGAGCCGGAGCCGGACCCCGAGCCGGACCCCGACGCCGAGCCGCTCCGCGACGACGATGAACCGCTCCCGCTCCTCGACGACCCGCTCCTCGACGACCCGCTCTCGGAGCCGCTCTCGGAGCCGGCGGACTCGTCGACCGGCTCGAGCGTCGCCGGCGGCGCGAACGACGGCCGCCGCGCGGCCTCCTCGAGGGCCGCGCGCGCCGCGGCGGCGGCGGCCTCCGCCGCGGCGCGGTCCGCGGCGAGGGCCTGCCGCTCGGCCTCGGCCTTGGCCGCGAGGGCTTTGCGGTTCGCCTCGGCCTTTTGCTCGAGCGCCTCGAGCTCCGCGAGCCGCTTCGCCTCCGCGGCCTCGGCGTCGCGCCGCCGCTGCGCCTCGAGGGCGCGCCGCTCCGCGTTCTCCTTGTCGCGCCGGCGCCGCTCCTCGGCCAGGCGCTCGCCGCGCTCGACGGCCGAGTCGACGCCGAGCTGGCGGCTCAGCCGGTGCGCGGCGTCGTCGACCATGGCCTTGGCGTCGCGCTCGTCGCCGCCGTCCATGGCGCCGCCCCGCGCGACGGCGAGGTGCTCCGCGATGACCTCCCAGCTGTAGGCGGGCGAGTAGTGCCGCGGCCACTCGAGCGCCTCCGCGTAGGAGACGACGGCCGCGACGACGGCCGCGTCGCGCGCCGCCTCGCCGCCCTTTTTTTCGGCCCCCCACCAGGGCTCCGGCGGCGCCGCGACGCGGATGCGCCGCTCCACGGGCTTGGCGTCCGGCGCCGCGAGGTGGGCCGTCGCGGCGATCTCGAACATCGCGTCCGCGTCGTTTACGGCGCCGTCGCCCGCGGCGCCCTCGCCGTCGCTCGTCGACACGTCGGACGGCGCGTCGTCGTCGTCGGGCGCCGCGTCGCGGACGGCGCTCGCCCGTTTACTCGGGGCGAGCGCGGGCGGCGCGGACTTGGACGTCTGCGACCGCGCGCGGACGCGGTCCGCGACGCGGCTGCGCGCGCGCTCCCGCGCGGCCGCGCGGTCCGCCTGCTGCGTCGCCGCCCGGTCCCGCGCCGGCGCCTCGGGCGCGTCGTCCTCGTCGACCTCCTCGACGGCGAAGCCCACCGCGCGCTTCGCGGGCGCGGCGACCGGCTCCTGCGTAAACGCGAGGCCGTCGAGGAAGTCCGCGACGGGCTTCGACGCGGCGAGGTCCAGGAGCGAGTGGAGCGGCCGGGGCTTCGCGAGGGGGACGAGGCCCGGCGGCGCGGCCGCGGCGCCGCCCGGGTCGAGGGGCGGCGGCGGCACGGAGCGGTTGTCCACGGGCTCGCCCTCGGGGCCGACCGAAAAACCCCGGTAGAGCCGCCGCTTCCGCGGCGCGGGCTTCTTGAAGAGGGACGACGCGCCGCCGCCGCTTTCCGTGGGCCGCGCGTTCTCGTCGTCGTCGTCGTCGTCGTCGTCGTCGCCCGCGGACGCCTTGAGCAGCCGCCGCTCCTTCTCCGCCGCGCGCCGCGCCTTCCGCTCGGCCTTCTTCGCCTTCTTCTCGGCCTTGGCCGCGCGCTGGCGGTTGAGCTCCGCCGTCATCCACTGCTCCACGAAGAGGCTCGGGTCGCTGTAGGCGTGCGCGCAGGACTCGCCGCCCACGGCCGCGTCGATGCGGTCGAGCGGCGGCGGCGGCGCGCAGCTCCGCTCCAGGGCGACGAGCCCGTCGGGCCGCGTCGACGGCGTCAGCAGGCTCGGCACGGCGCCGACGACGAGCTCGCGGCCCCGGCCCGCGCCGCAGCGGAACGACGCGGCGCGCCGCGCGGCCGCGTCCGCCGCGCCGACGCGCCGCGCGAGGCGGTCCGCGCGCGCGGCCGCGCTCGCGACGCGCTCGTGCGTCTCGCCCGAGAGGCGCAACAAGTTGTCGAAGACCTCGGCCGAGAGCGCCGCGAGCGCGCCGACCTGCTCGAGCGCGCCGCGGAGCAGGCCGAACGTCTCCTCGCCGCCGGCCGCGCGGCCGTTCGCGAACCACTCCGGCCCGGGCAGCTCGCGGCCCGCCAGCGGCATCTCACCAGTCCTCGCTCTCCACGGACCAGATCAGCCGCCAGTGCGCGCGCCTACGGTGCACATCGGTCGGCAAGCGGATGGAAACGGGAAACGCACACGACGTAGAAGACGAGGATGAGCAACGAACCGACGACGAAGAGCAGGAAGCAGACGACGTCCTCCTTCTCCAGGCGCCGGCGCAGGCCGAGCCGGTAGCCGAAGTTGCGCGTCCGCCGGCTCAGCTTCGACGGCAGGACCATCGCATTGCCACAACAGACTTAGAGACTGGGGCAGCCCGAGGCGCTTCGAGGCTCGACGGAGCTTCTTGGCCGGGGGTCGACGGACGACGGTCGGACTCTCTCCGCGCGCCTAAGTCGACTGAGACGGTCGACCGCGAGCGCGCCCGCCGCGACTGCCGCGTAGACAACCGCGCCTCTCGACCGCGCCGTCGCCGCTCTTCCGCGATGGAGGCCGGCTACGGCTTGACGACGTTCAGCCCGAGCGGCAAGCTCCCCCAGCTGACGAGCGCGATGACGGCGACGAACGAGGGCAAGACGTCGCTGGGCATCAAGGCGAAGAACGGCGTCGTGCTCTGCACGGACAAGAAGCTGAGCTCGAAGCTCATCGAGTCCGCCGACGTGCACAAGCTCGAGAAGATCACGCCGAGCTGCGGCTTCGTGTACAGCGGCGTCGGCCCGGACTACCGCGTCCTGGTGAAGAAGGCGCGGAAGCAGGCGCAGGCCTACTACCTCACGTACCGGGGCCTCAAGCCCATCCGGGCGCTCGTCCAGGACACGGCGGCGGTGTGCCAGGAGTACACGCAGTCCGGCGGCGTCCGGCCCTTTGGCGTGAGCCTGCTCGTCGCGGGCTTCGACGACGAGGGCCCGCAGCTCTTCCAGGTCGACCCCTCCGGCGCCTTCTTCGGCTGGCAGGCGTCGGCCATCGGCAAGAACTCCAAGAACGCCAAGTCCTTCCTCGAGAAGCGCTACAACGAGGACGTCGAGCTCGACGACGCGATCCACACCGCGCTCCTCACGATGCGCGAGGGCTTCGAGGGCGAGATGAACGAGCACAACATCGAGCTCGGCGTCATCGGCGAGGACCGCGTCTTCAAGGTCCTCACGCCCGCCGAGGTCAAGGACTACCTCGACGAGTCCAACTAGGCCGCCGCCGCCGCCGCCGCCCCGTAACCACGCCGCGATTCGAACAATGTGACATCTCGGACGAGTGGACTACGACAAGGACCAGGGAGGGGGCGTTCCGTACTCCGCAACCACGCCGCGATTCGATCTCGGACGAGTGTACTACGACGAGGACAAGGGAGGGGGCGTTCCGTACTCCGCAACCACGCCGCGATTCGATCTCGGACGAGTGTACTACGACAAGGACAAGGGGAGGGGTCCGCGGCGCTAGCGCCGCGGCGGCGTCCGCGGCATGGGCGTCAGGTCCGCGTTGGCCGTGAGGCGGAGCGGCGGCGGCGAAGCGCCGTCGGGCGTCCGCGGCGACGCGGAGCCGGGCGGCGAGCCGGGCACCGTGAGGAGCGTCGGCGTCGCGGACCGCGAGAGCTGCGCGAGCGAGCCCGCGGAGCCGTGGCCGAGCGACGAGAGGTTCGAGCCCGAGGTCGAGGGCGTCGCGTTGATGAAGCTGAGCGACGCCGCGCGCGTGATGCCGCCCTTGCGCTCGCAGCGCGCCTCGATGCGGTGGATGCGGTGGAGCGAGTCCTCCATGTTGTGGACGATGACCTCCTCGAGGTCCTCCTCCTCCTCGTCGACCGAGGGCGTCGGCGGCCGGCGGCCGCCCATGGTGTGGTGCACGGACGCCTCCTCGTCGATGGGCGACATGGCGGCGCCGCGGTCCCGCTTCGCCGCCTCGAGCTGGCGCGGCGCCTCCGGCGGCAGGAGGAGCCGGCGCCCGTCGGGCACGAAGGTCGCGAAGCACACGAGGACGACGGCCGGGGAGAGGCTCATGAGCGCGCCGAACTTGGCCTGGTCCATGACGCGCGCGTTGTCCGCGAAGGCCATGCCGCTGATGAAGAGCGACACGGTGAGACCCACGGACGAGATGACGCCGTCGACGACGAGCGCGCGGAACGACATGCCCTCGGGCCGCGGGAAGCCCATGAGCGTCGCGACCTGCGACCCGCCGATCATGCCCAGCGTCTTGCCGACCAGCAAGCTGAGGAAGACGACGAGCGAGTAGCCGCCGACGCCGTCGACGCGCACGCCCGCGTTCACGGCGCCGAACGCGAAGAGCACCCCAAAGTCCACGAAGCCTTTCGTCGCGTGCTCGAAGTCGTGGAGCGGCGACCGGTGGGGCTTCGCGTCGTCCTCGTCGTCGCTCACGTCGTCGCCGTCGCCGCCGGCGTCTTCGGAGTCCAAGTCGAGCGGCAGGAAGGGCACGACGAAGCAGAGCGCGAGCGACGGGTGCACCGCCGCGTAGAGCAGGCCGTACCACGCGAGGGGCCCCGCGAGGGCGCAGTAGACCCACCACTGGGCGACGCGGGCGCGCCGCAGCGCGTAGGCGACGCCCATGGCCGCCAGGCAGAGGAGCAGGTACGCGTACGCGGGCGCGACGGCCGGGTCGGATTCGCGGTAGGCGACGGCGATGATGACGAGGCCGATGCCGTCGTCGATGATGGCGCAGAGGAGCAGGAAGTTGATGGCCGGGTGGCCCGCGCCGAAGACGCAGAGCGCCGTGACCCAGGCGATGGAGATGTCCGTCGCCGTCGGGATGCCCCAGCCCTTGGCGAGCGTGGCGAAGTCGTCCGCGAGCAGGCCGGGCACGGCCTTCGCCGCCGCGAGGATGGCGAGGTAGGCGGCGATGGGGCCCAGCACGCCGCCGACCGTGCCGCAGAGCGGGTTCACGGCCTTGCGCGTCGGCGGGTAGAGCGACCTGTGTGGAAATCAACCAGTGAGCTGGGACGTCGGGGCCAAACTTCGGAACTCTCGAGCTCCGTCGCATCGAAGTCGATTCGGCTGATTTTTGGACGAATCGATCGCTCTCGTCGAGTTCTCGAAGCACAGCCGAAGAGTCCGGCGCAATCCGCGCACATTGAAGTCGGGTCGAAGATGTGATGTCCGCGCGGAGATCGACCCGCCGGGCTGGAACGCCTCCGCGATCTCCTTCACCGCGAGGCCGAAGAAGAGCGCCATGAGGACGTCGTTGACGATGAAGTGGAGCGTCACGTCGTGGCGCCGCAGGCGCAGGCCGAAGAGGGACGGGTGGGCCCCGTCGCTCAGGCGCCGGTGGTCGTCCGCGTCGTCGTCGCCGTGGTCGACGCCCGTCCACCGGTCGTACGACGGCCGCGCCTCGTTCGCGAGCACGAGCGCGAGGACGATGCCGCTCAGCAGGGGCAGCGCGTACTTCTGGGAGAAGTCGACGAGCGCGCCCAGGGACACGCCGTGGCGCCAGGCGTCCTTCTGCCGCGCGTCCCAGCGCCGGTCCTGCCGCTCGTAGGCGACGCGGAGCACGTAGCCGCCCGCGGGCAGCACGGTCGACTCGCCGTCGGAGTCGCCCTTGAGCAGCGCCGCGCGCTCCGCCTCGACGAGCTGGTCCTTGAGGTCCCGCAGTTCCGCGACCATGCGCTCCTCGCGCGCCGCGAGCGACCGCTTCGTCGGCCGCGTCGTCCGCGGCAGCACGCGGAGCCCGCGGAGGCGGCCGTCCAGGGCGTCGAGGATGGCGCGCCCGTCCTTCGCCTCGTAGAGCGTCTTGACGATGGCGTCTTCCTGCAGGAGCGCGGCCGCGGCCGCGCCCATCTCGACGTGGCGGTCGTGGCGCTGGCGCGCGCGGCCCTCGAAGACGTCGCCCTTGGGCCCCAGGATGAGCACGATGAAGCGCGCGCGGAGCGTGCAGGTCCGCGCGTCCTCGCCGTCGGCGAGCACGTGCTCCTCGAGGCCGCTGACGACGGACGACCGGAGGCGGACGAGGGCGGACGCGTCCGCGCGGAGCCACTCGAAGTCGTCGTCGATGAGCACGTGCACCGCCTCCTCCTCGGCGTCGGGCGCCAACGCGTCCTTGAGCGGCGACGGCGGCGGCGCCCGCTTCGCCTCCTCGCGCGGCTCCTCGTGGGCCGACGCGTCGAGCGACGTCCGCGACCCGCCGAGGACGTCGTCCGCGGACGTGGACCGCGCGCGGAAGAGGTCCCCGAAGCTCAGGGTCCGCGAGGGCCGCTTCGGCAGCGCCTCGGCGGCCTCGAGCGCCTTCTTCCGCCGGTGCTCCGCGAGCGCCGCGTCGTGCTCCAGGACCTTCTTGCGGCCGAGGTGCGACACCAAGGCCGCGAGCGCCGCGCCCGCGTCCGTGCCCGACATCTGGCCGTCGCGCACGAGGTGCTCGACGATGGCCCGCGCCACGGGCTCGAAGACGTCGCCCGTGCCCCGGCCCTCGACGTCCAGGAGCACGAGCTCCGGGTGCAGGCTCTCGCGAAACGCCATCGCTCCGAAGACCGAGATGCTCGGCAGGTGCGCGCGGCCGAACTTGGGGCCCTCGACCTGCGGTGCGTTGGTGTCGCGGGGTCCGGGGCGGGGCGGGGCGGGGCGGGGCGGGGGGGGGGGGGGGTACTCACGCAGTCCTCCTCTAAATCCTCTTCGAGGCCGTAGTTCCAGCGCCGCGTCTCGTGCCAGCCGTCCTTGCGGAGCTCGTGCATCTCGGCGAAGAGGTGGCGGTTCCGGAAGACGTGGATGCCGTCCGTGTGGCCCGAGGGCTCGGAGGACATCATCATGGCGAGCGTCGTGGGCGGGTCGCCCCCTCTCGCGGCGGCTCGCGTCGAGACCAAGGTCAAGGTCAAGCGCCGGTAATTTCGTTTAGAGACGCGTAAGGTAATTTCGCTCGGCGAAGGGACGCCTCCCCGATAGCTCTAGCCGCTCGACACCGGTGGGCCGAAGTCCAGCTTCCCTGTGCCGGGCGTCGTCGCACTGGGGCTCGGCGGACGTAGCCGTGCGCAGTTGCAGGCGATCTCGCGTCGCGGTCCGCGCGCCGCGAAGCCCGCGAACCGAGGCGGCGCGCCGGGGCCGGGTAGCCGCCGATCGCGCGCGCGCGTATGAGTTTGCGGGAGAGACGCGGTATAAGGCGTTCTGGAGGGCGAAGTGTGATTAGCCGACCAGGCCAGCGGCGGCCGACGCCTCCGCCGGCCAGGCAGGACGCCTAACGACCCAGGCCAGGCCAAAGTGTGCGACGTGAGCCTGTTCGCTGAACGAGCATTCGAGCCGCCCGCGTAAGCGTGGTCTCGCCTTCATTCGTCGTCGTCGGCGAGGGCCCCTGAGCCCGCCCAGGTGCGCCGGACCCCCCCCCGCCCCTCCCCGAACCCTCTGCGAGCCCCTCCATACGAGGGGCCGCCGATGAGAGCCCCGGCGTGAAGAATATGGCCCCTCTCGCTGTCGAGGGCGCCGTTGAAGAGACACGCCTCCCGACGGAAATAGAGCGCAGTTCGTCGGCCGACGCGAAGCTCCTCCTGGGGCTCGCTTCGGCCGTGACGCCGTCCCCCACGCCGTCGCCCCCGCCGCGGCCGCGGTCCGATTCTTCGTCGTCGTCCGAGCCGTCGGCGGCGCCGACGACGCTGCGGACGGTCAAGGCCAAGGCCAAGGTCGCCAAGGTGGGCAAGACCGCGGCCAAGCGGCGCGAGGTGACGGTCATCCGCGTGCCGCCGCCGCCGCCGCCGACGCCGCGCGAGGCGTTCGTCGCCAAGTGTCTCGAGTTCACGCGGAAGGTCGCGCGCGAGTTCCCGCCCGGGTGCCCGGCCTTCGCGCTCTACAAGCTCGCGATCACGGCGCAGCGCGCGGACAACGCCGACCGGTGCGCGGTCGTCGCGCGGCTCCGCGAGCTCTTCCGGACCGACGCGGAGGTCACGGAGATGTTCTTCGACCTGCTGTCGCCGGGACTCCGGGCGGAGTTCCAGGTCGATTAGCCTCGACGTGCCGCGGAGCTCACAGGCTCGCTTCCCCTCCGCGCGCGCACGACCTCCTCTCACCAGCCATCAAGTTTCGCGGAGCTAACAGGCTCAGTTCCCCTCCGCACCCATCGACGACGTCTGGAGCTAACCGGCGCAGCGCCTCGCGGCGCTCAAATCCCCTCCAGCGACGTTCCCAAGCAAATGCTCTGGAGCTAACAGGCTCAGTTCCCCTCCAGCGTATCGCATCATCCAAGCATAAGTTTATCGGCGTCACGCTCGACACCCGGAGTTAACCGGCTCAAGTCCCCTCCGGGCCCCCAAGTTTCGCGGAGCCACCCGGCAAGATCCCCTCCGCGCACGCACCATCGACGACCCTGGAGCTAACCGGCGCAATCCCCTCCATGGCGTCCCCCCACACATCCCCTCTTCGAGGCGTGTGCACGATAATTCTCATGAGTATACACAATACCGGCGGCCCTCGGGCGGGCCGCCCGCGCGCGCTCGCGGCGCTAGCTGTTACCGGCGCGCCCCGGGCAGGTCGACTGGTCCGCCGACGTGAGCTCGACGAGCTCCCGGTAGCGCGGCAGCAGGAAGAACTCGACGGCCTCCTTGGCCTCCTTCGTCGCGCTCCGCTCCTTCCGTTCGCTGTCGCTCGCGAAGGTGCCGCCGCGGTGCTTGCCCTCGGCGGCCTTGGAGTACTGCGTCGCCGTGGCCCGCATGGCCGCCACGGCCTCGTCGCCGCGCTCGTCGACGCCGAAGAGGTTCGGGAGCACGTCCTCCACGAAGACGTCCGCGATGTCCGGCCCGTACTCGAGGACGCGGCCGCAGCGGCCGCCGTCGGCCTTCGCCGCGGCGATGGCGCCGTCGCAGAGCGACGCGAGGTGGGCCGCGCAGAAGTCCTCCTTCTTCGGGCTCCGGCAGTCGTCGCCGAGGATCTCGCAGACCTCGTCCGTCGGCCGCTTCATCGTCGACGTGCACACGGCCTTGCCGAAGCCGCCGCTCCCGTGCGACATCATGACCTACCGAGCGCGACATCTTTCGGGACATCTCCCCGGGGGACGCCGGCCGTCGACCTGGAGCGGCTCGCGGTGCACGAAGAGCCAGGGCGTCGTCGGGAACGCCTCGAGGATCAGCGGCATGTCCACGGCGACGGCGCTCTGGAACTTGACGAAGAGCTTCGCGTGGACCGTCGACGGCGAGCCGTCCGCGCGCCTACCAAGCACGTCGGTAACGATTTTCTCTTCGTTTTCCCGGTTAAAAGCTCTCGAAAATCGTCACGGCCGCAGGACGCTGCCGCGCGCGCGGGCGCGCCGAGCAGCGATACGTAGTCGCGGAGCGCCGCGATCTGCTGCGCGCGCGACGCGCGCGGCGACGTCGGCAGCCGGAGGCCCTCGGAGTAGACCAGGTGGTGCGGCACGGCGGCGAGGATGTTCGCCAGGAGCGTCGACCCCACGCGGCTCTCCTGGAAGATGAAGCCCGCGGGCGCGAGCGGCTTGACGCCGCGCGTCTTCGCCGCGTAGGCCGCCTCCGCGAGGTCGAGCACGCGCTGCCGCTTCGACTCGCCGCAGCTCGACGCCTGCTGGACCTGCTTGAACTTGCCGAACTCGTGCGGCTTTCGCCAGTACGCGTCCCACTCGACGAGGCAGAGCGTCACGCGCCACCGCGGGTCGCCGGCGCCGACCATCTCCTCGCGCACGCCGACGGGTACCCAGATGGCGCCGACGCGGATGTCGTCGTAGCCGCGCGCGGCACCGGCGCCGCCGCTCCACGTCGCGGCGCAGAGCCAGAGGCCGCCGAGCAGCGTGACGAGGACGGCGATGGCGGCGGCGCTGCGACTGCTGCGTTTCGCCTCCGTCTCCGTCGACATGGCTGCCCACCTCGCGACGTGCGACGGCTGCTAGGCTAGCAACAAGCACGTCGGCATATGGCTGCCCCACATCGCGCGCAGAAATACGACTGCACCCAATTGACTGCACCTTGAAGGTCGATCTCAAGAGCTCCGCGATGATGAGATCGATCATGCGGCGTTCTGGCAGGCAAAAAACCGCGCGCGCGGCGCTCGCGCTCGCCCTCGCGTGCGCGCAGACCGCCGCGCTCTCGCTCGCGACGCCGCACGCCAAACCATGCCGCACGAGCGCCTTGCGGGCGGCGGTGGTCAGCGACGAGCTCGGCCACCTGGACAAAAAGGTCGTCGGCGCCGCCGCGGCCCGCGCCCTGCGCTTCGACGGCATGATCGCGTTCGACCGCCGGCGGCGGCGCCTGCCGCGCGTGCCCGTCGTGAGCAAGTACGTGGAGTACGTCGGCGAGCTCTGGCGCGCGGACGAGGCGAGCACGGCGCGGTCCGACGTCGTCGAGGTCGGCCGGGGCACGACGCTCGCGACGCGCGTGACCACGGGCGTGGGCCTGGGCCTCCTCTTCACGTATTGGACCATGGTCCCGAACTGGGCCTTCGCGCTGGGCATGCTGCTCCAGGCGCTCGTCGCGCAGCTCGAGTACTTTCGCATGGCGATCATCCGGGGCGCGCGGCCCGCGCGGAGGATCGTCATGGCCGCGTCCATCGCGGCCATGGCCGTCGCCGCGGGGGCGCCGGCGCTCCACGAGCTCGTCTTCCCCGTGGGGGCGACGTGGATGATGCTGTGGCTGTGTCTCATGCGGAAGCACGCGAGTTCGATACAGGACATCTCGACGTCGCTCATGGGCCTCTTCTACACGGCCTATCTGCCGAGCTTCTGGGTGCGCCTGCGGTGCGCGCCCGAGTGGACCATGGCGGCGGCGAACCTCGCGCCGGAGGGCGCGTTCGCGTCCGTCGCGGCGGCGGCGGCGGCGCACGTGCCGCTCCTGCGGCACGCGGGCGCGCAGGCCGTCTGGTGGACGGCGCTGACCGTCGCCGTGTCCGACATCGGCGCCTACTTCGGGGGCAAGCGCTTCGGCCGCCACTCGCTCGCGGCGCTGGGCCTCGGCGCGGCGGCCGAGGCGTCGCCGAACAAGACGATCGAGGGCGCGATCTCGGGCTTTGGTGCCGCGGGCCTCTGCTTCGGCCTCGGCGCCCGGGCCATGGGCTGGCCGCTCTGGCCCCTGAGCGGCGTCGGCTTCGGCGTGACCATCGCGATGCTCGCGCTCCTCGGCGACCTCACGGCGTCCATGCTCAAGCGCGACGCGGGCGTCAAGGACTTCGGCCACCTCTTCCCGGGCCACGGCGGCGTCCTCGACCGCCTCGACGGCTACTTCTTCGTCGCGCCCATCGCCCTCGTGCTGCTCCCGCGCCTCGTCGCGCCGGGCGCCTGGGTGCCGTGAGGGAGGCGCCGTCGGCCTAATTTCCGTCGTCGACATGTCGTCGAATGGGCGCCGGCTGGGTCTTGACGCCGACGCGAGTGAATCCCGAGCTCCGCGAGCTGATCGGCGAGTTCCTGCCGCCAGCCTGCAGCGTCGCACAGCGCGTCGTCCGCGCGACCACCTACAGCGCCGCCGTAGCAGCAGCGCGCCGCGAGGATGGACGAGCTCGTGAAGCAGGCCGAGGCCGCCGGCGAGGCCGTCAAGGTGGCCAAGGGCGGCGACTCCAAGGAGGCGATCAAGGCCGCCGTCGACGCGCTCGTGGCCATCAAGGAGAAGATCACGGCGCTGGACCCGAGCCACCCGCTGGCGCTCGTGGACAAGGCGGCGAAGAAGAAGGCGGAGAAGGAGAAGAAGAAGAAGGAAGCCGAGGCCGCGGCGGCCGCGAACGGCGGCGGCGACGCCGGCCCGAGCAAGAACGCGCAAAAGGCCGCGGCGAAGAAGGCGCTCAAGGACGCGAAGAAGAAGGCGCACAAGGAGGGCGCGGCGCCGCCGCCCGCGGCGGCGCCCGCCGCCGCGGCGCCCAAGGCCGCCGCGCCCAAGGCCGCCGCGCCCAAGGCCGCGCCGGCGCCCGGCGGCTCCGCCGCGGGCGTCGTCTACTTCGGCGCCGACGCGCCGCCCCTCGCGGCCATGGCGACCGTCGCCGCCGTCGGCGGGGGCGCGACCTTCGCCGTCGACGCGGCGCTCAAGAAGGCGCAGCCCTACACGACGGTCGGCGGCTGCCGCGTCTTCGGCGCCGTCGCGATCGCGCGGCACGTCGCGCGCGCGGCCGGCGCCGCGGCCTTCCTCGGCGGGGCGTCGCCCGCGGACGCGGCCCTCGTGGACCAGTGGGTCGAGCTCTCGCTGTCGTACCCGGCGTTCGGCGACGGCCCGGGCCTGGTCGCGGCGCTCGCGGCGCGCCTCGCGGCGGGCACGTGGCTCGTGGGCACCGCGGCGACGCTCGCCGACGCCTGCTGCTGGGCGGCCGTGACGACGGCCGCCGCCGACGCCGCGGCGAAGAGCGCGGACGTCGCGCGGTGGCTCAAGCTCTGCGAGTCGCAGTTCGCCGCCGCGCGCGCGCTGCTCAAGGCCGCGCCGAAGGCGAGCGGCAAGGCCGCCGAGGCCTCCGCCGACGGCGGCTGCCCGCCGCTGGAGGGCGCCGTCGAGGGCAAGGTCGTCACGCGGTTCCCGCCGGAGCCGTCGGGCTACCTCCACATCGGCCACGCGAAGGCCGTGCTCCTCAACGACTACTACGCGCGGCGCTACAAGGGCAAGCTGCTCGTGCGATTCGACGACACGAACCCGTCCAAGGAGAAGGACGAGTACGCGGCGAACATCCTCCGCGACCTCCAGACGCTCGGCATCGACCCCGAGGACAAGGATAGCTACGTGTCGTTGAGCCACACGTCGGACCACTTCGACAAGATCGCGTCGCTCGCCGAGCAGCTCATCGACAAGGGCAAGGCCTTCATGGACGACACGCCCCAGCAGCAGATGCGCGACGAGCGCGAGGCGCGCTCCAACTCGAAGCACCGCGACGTCGACGCGAAGACGAACCTGCAGCGCTTCAAGGACATGCGCGAGGGCAAGGCGCCCGAGTGGTGCCTCCGCGCGAAGATCGACATGTCCAGCGACAACGGCACGCTCCGCGACCCCGTCATGTTCCGCGCGAACGACTCGCCGCACCACCGCACGGGCACGAAATACCGGGCCTACCCGACCTACGACCTCGCCTGCCCCATCGTCGACTCCCTCGAGGGCGTCACGCACGCGTTACGCACGACGGAGTACAACGACCGCGACGCGCAGTACGCGTGGCTCCAGGAGGCGCTGGGCCTGCGCAAGGTCCGGATCCACGCGTTCTCGCGCATCAACTTCGTGCGCACGCTCATGTCGAAGCGCAAGCTCGCCTGGCTCGTGGACCAGAAGGCCGTCGAGGGCTGGGACGACCCGCGCTTCCCGACGATCCAGGGCGTCGTCCGCCGCGGCGTCTCCGTCGCGTCGCTCCGCGACTTCATCGTCAGCCAGGGCGCGTCGCGGAACATCATCAACCTCGAGTGGGACTCGTTCTGGGCGCTCAACAAGGCGGCCTACGAGGCGCCGTCGAAGCGGTTGATGGCCGTCGAGGCCGCGGGAAAAGCGACGCTGAAGATCACGAACTGCCCGCAGTACGACGTCGGCGACGTCCACGCGCTGGTCGTGCCCTGGCACCCCAAGGACGAGTCCATGGGCATGCGGCCCTGCCGCATCGGCAACACGATCTACCTCGAGGGCGACGACGCGAAGACGCTGGCCGCGGGCGAGGAGGTCGTGCTCATGCGCTGGGGTCTGGTGAAGATCACCAAGGCCAACGGGCTCGCCTTCGAGGGCGAGTACGTGCCCGACGGCGTCTACAAGAAGAAGAAGACGCTGTCCTGGCTCGCGGAGACGCCCGACGCCGCGGCGCTGACCTTGGTGGAGTACGACTACCTCATCGCGAAGCCGAAGCTCGACGAGGACGACGACCTCGCGACGCCGGGCGTGCTCACGCCCGTGTCCATGGTCGAGACGCCGGCCATCGGCGACCCGCTCTGCAAGTTCCTCATGCAGGGCGACGTCGTCCAGCTCGAGCGCCGCGGCTTCTTCAAGTGCGACGTCGCCCACAACCCCTTCGCCAAGGAGCCCGCGCCCATCCGCCTCATCTACGTGCCCGACGGCAAGCCCCAGCACAAGGTGCCCTTCTCCCGCCTCCCCTCCGCGAAGAAGCCCTAGGGGGCCTAGCATGTGCTCAACGGCGCTTCGACTTCGACCGGCGGCGCCGCGCGCACGCGGGCGGCATCGGCCTGTCGGTTCGCAACATCCGCGCGACGGACTCCTACATCCGCGGGTCGAACGGCACGTCGAACGGCATCGTGCCCATGGCACGTCGAACGGCATCGTGCCCATGCTCCGCGTTTACAACGACACGGCGCGCTACGTGGACCCTGGAGGGCGGCGGCAGGCGCAAGGGCAGTTTCGCCATCTACCTCGAGCCCTGGCACGCCGACATCGAGACCTGGCTCGACCTGAAGAAGAATCACGGCAGCGAGCTCGAGCGCGCTCTTCTACGGCCTCTGGATCCCGGACCTCTTCATGAAGCGCGTCGAGGCCAACGGCTCCTGCAACATCAAAATAATAAATTGGAAAAGATATAAAACCACAATAATTTTCAGACTCGCCAGATCGGACGTCCTTCCTGATGCTCTCCTAGGTGCAGCAGCGCCGCCACGACAATGATCTGCCGCGTCGCGCTGCTCGTCGCCGTCGCGGCCGCCGCCCCGTGCGATCTCCGCTTGGACTTTGACGGCGTGCGCCACGAGGCCGTCTTCGACGACGGCGCCTCCGACGACGAGCTGGCGGCCATCGTCCGCAACGTGCTGGACCGCGTCGCCGACCACTACGACGAGGGCGCGCTGCTAACGTTTTTCGGCAGCCTGGCGTCCGACTGCGACGACGCGGGCGCGCCGTTCAATGACTGCTTCCCGAACAAGCTGCGGAAGGCCTTCGCGGAACGGCGCGCGACGTGCCTCCGGATCGGCGCCGAGGAGCCGGCCTGCGCGGGCACGGTCCACCTCGGAAACGCGGCGCCGAAACACTGCAAGGTGCTCGTGACGGGTAACGGCCCAGCGTCGAGCGACGGGAGAAGAAACGAGAAGAAACGAGAAGAAACCCTTGGTAGGCACGGGCCGAGCCGCTTCGACATTCCTCATGCGCGTCTTCGCGCTCCTCGGCCTCGACACGGGCTTCGACGCGGGCGAGGCCGCGGACGAGTCCTTCGAGCAGCCCTTCAGCGCGGCGCGCATTTTAAAGTTGATGTGGTTCATCATCCGCAAGGACCAGCGCGTCGGCGCGCAGGAGCACCAGGTGCAGCGTTGGAGCAGGCTCACGGCCGTACCTCCGCACCTCACCTCGTGGCCGGACCTCGCGTCGACGCTCAGCTTCGTGATCGTGCCGCTGCGCGACCTCGGCGCGGTGTCCAAGAGCCGCGCGCACCGCGGCGACGCGCCCGGCGGGCTCTACACGAAGTTCTACGCGGCCTACTTCCCCGACTCGTACGGCGACGAGGCCGCCGACGTCGCGCGCGAGCGCCAGGAGAAGATCGACGCGGACGACATGGTCCACCTGCACACGTACCTGCTCGAGTACGAGATCCCCCACGTCTACCTGTCCTTCGACCGCCTCACCATCGACGAGGGCTACGCGTACCGCGCGCTCGCTCCGCTCCTCCGCGGCTACGACGTCTCGCGAGCCGACTTCCAACGCGCCTACGCCGCGGCCGCGGCGCTCTACCGGCGCGGCAACACGTTCGTCGAAGTAGCCTAGCGGCGAAGGGGCGGCGATTTTGAGGCGCCGTGGTGTTACTACTTAGTAGATTGAGGCGGCGTTTAACATATCCCCGGTAGGCCGCCTCTTCTACTAACGGAGCTCGGACCGGTCGTCGTCGTCGTCGTCGTCGTCCCGCGCGTTCCGGCGGCGGGCGGCGCGGGCCGCGTCGCCGGCCCGAGCGGCGGCCTCCTCGAGGACGGCCTGGCGCGCGACGTCGCCCGCGCCCAGGGTCGCGTCGTCGTCGTCGTCGTCGTCGCCGTTGGCCGCCCGCTTCTTGGCCTTGTAGGCCGCGCGCGCGGCGTCTTTGCGCCGCTCAAAGTCCGCGACAAAACCGCCGGCCCCGGCGTCGTAGGCCGGGTCCCAGTGGTGCACGTAGGCCCCGGCGAGGCGCGGGTCGCCGTCGACGAGGGGCCGGCCGCGGAACTCGGCGAGCCACGCGTCGTCGCCGGCCGCGGCCCGGTCGTCGTCGTCGTCGTCGTCGTCGTCGTCGGGCCGCCCGTAGTCCAGGGGGATCTTCGCGCAGTGGGGCCCCAGCGCCGCGTTGGCGGCCTCCGGCGCGAGGCCCTTCCGCGCCCTGTTGTGGCGGTTCGGCCTGGCCTGGTAGGAGTACCACCAGTCGTGCAGGTACGGCGCCCGTTCCAATGCGCACCACGTCTCCGGCGGCGGGTCCAGCACCTGGCGCGGGATGTCGCGGGCGTCGCAGCAGGGCCGCAGGAACTCGCCGGGCTTCACGGGGCCGAGGCCGTCCTGGCGGCCGCCGATGGCCTCGGCCGCGTGGCCGCGGCCGCCGCGGCCGCACATGACGTAGTGCGGGCACGACTCGACGCGCGGCATGCGGTGGCAGGCGTCGGGCACGGGCCGGCCCCACATGCCCAGGTTCGACTCGGCGGCGTCGCGGCCCATGGCCTCCCAGAGGTCCATGTGGCTGCTGAACCACTGGGACGCGTTCTCGCCGCGGGGCCAGTACGCGGCCGGCGGGAGGCGGCAGGCGAAGAACGCGTAGTCCGGCCGGATGCGTATGACGAAGTCGTACTTCGCGCCCCGTTCGGCCTCGGCCTCCTCGATGTGGTCGAGGCACACGCGGTTCCTCGCGCGCAGGCTCCGCTGGAAGAGGTCCGCGCGCGCGGCGCCGTGCTTGGCCGTCGCCGCGGCGACGGCCGCGTCGTCGTCCAGCACCGTCACGCGCCGCGGCTTCAGCGGGCCCGTCCGCAGGCCCTCCAGCTCCGCGTCCGTCGCCGGCGGCCGCGCGGCGCGCCTCCGCTTGCCCCAGTCGGGGTCGAGGTCGTGCGGGCCCGTGAGGTTCCTCCAGCCGTCGCCCTCGCTCCCGTCGCGCCGCGCGCACTTGCGCCGGTCGAAGTAGCAGCCGTTGCGCGGGATGTGGTAGTCGATGTGCTTGAGCATGTGCTCGCGCGCGACGACGGCGAAGACGTCGGCGTCTTCCAGGGGCTCCGTGACGGCGAGGCGCAGGTTCTCCTGCATCTCGGGGTAGGTGCCCGTGCGCAGCTGGCCCGTGAGGCACACGGCGAAGCGCGTTTCCGCGTGCGCGCGCCTTAGGATTGCCAGGCACGCGAGCGCGCGGCGCAAAGCCATCGTCTCGTGAGAAATTCTACAGCACTTGCAGTGCAAGTTGAATTCTTAAGGCACCACGAGATACACGTACTGGCGCCGGTCGCACGTCTGCAGCGGCAGGCAGTCCGCGTCGCCGTCGAAGCCGAGGACCGGCGGCGGCGGCGGCGGTCGCGGCGGCGGCGCGCGGCCGCGGCCCCGGAACGGCGCCCCGTCGCCGCGGACGGCCGCGAGCGCCGCGGCGAGGGCGGCGTCGTCGTCGGCGCGGCGCGCCGCGGGCGCGTGCCTCGCGCGGACCGCGTCGGCCGCGTTGCGGAGGCACGCGGCGTCGCCCGCGGCTCGGGCGGACAGCGCCTCCGCGAGCGCCGCGCGCGCCGCCGCCGCCGCGGCGCCGCGGACCTCCGGCGGGTAGTCTCCGAGGCCCACGTCGACGTCGACGCCCCGCGCCAGAAACGCGCGCCAGGCCGGCCGGAGGTCGGCCGCGAGCGCGGCCTCGACCCGGTCGTCGGCGAGGCCGGGGTGCGACCGCGCAAACTCCGACGCAAAGTCGAAGTAGGCGCCCTTGGCGACGAGGAGCGCGTCGAGGCCGCCGGACGATTTCTCCGCGACGACGTCCGGCGCGACGCCCGCGCCGTCGAGCGCGCGGCCCTGCACGGCGACGCGCGCGGTCGTGAGCCGGAGCGCGGCGCCCGGCGCGGACCGCAGGGGGAACAGCGACTGCGCCGTGCCCTTGCCGAAGGTCCGTTCGCCGACGACGGCGCCGCGGTTCGAGCTCTGGATCGCGGCGGCGAAGATCTCCGCCGCGGACCGCGTCTCGCCGTCGACGAGGACGGCGACGCGCCGCGCGGCGGGGATCGTGGCGTCGGGCGTCCGCGTGACGACGAAGGGCGGCGCGTTCGTGAGCGTCGCGATGGGCGTCCCCGGCGGCAGGAAGAGGCTCGCGACGTCGACGGCCGCGTCCAAAAAACCGCCCGGGTTCGCGCGGACGTCGACGACGTAGGCGTCGGCGGTCGTCGCGACGCCCGCCACGGCGCGCGCCACGTCCCCGGCGACGCCGTCGCCGAAGGAGCTGATCTTGACGTAGACGACGCCGTCGTAGGCCGCCGCGGCCGCGAGCGGCGCCGGCGCGGGCGTCGCGCCGCGCACGTCGACGGCGAAGCGTTTCGCGCCGGGCCGCTCCACGGTCCAGGCCCGGGCCGACCGTAAGGTCTTCGCCGCCGCCGCCGCACTCGCGCCGTCGTCGACTTTGCGGCCGTCGACGGCGACGACGGCGTCGCCGACGCGGACGCCCGCGGCGAACGCCTTGGACGCCGGCTCGACGGCCGTCACGGTCAGCGCGCCGCGCACGGCCGAGTCCTTGACGAGGGCGACGCCGAGGGGCGCCGCCTCGCCGAGCGCGCGCGCGAGCTGCGAGGTCTCGAAGCGGACGACGCCGCCGTAGCCGTCGAGCGCGCGCGCGACCGCGTCCGCGGCGCGGAGCTCGTCGAAGCCGCCGACGTCGAGGCCGCGGCTGCTCAAGGCGTTGACGACCTCCTCGACGACGGGCAGCGGCCGCTCCGCACGTGCGAGGGTCGGCGCGACGAGGCACGCGCCGGCGAGGCAGCCGCCGAGCGCGCGGCGCAGCGGTGCCGTCCACTCCAGCGGCGCGGTCCAAGCGACGGCTGATGCTGCGCAGGCGGCCAGCAGCAGCGCGCGCATTGCTAGCGATTTTTACGATGGCTGCTGCGTCGGTGGCTTGCGTCGACGATTGCTACTGCTCTAGAGCGTCAACGAGTGGCGCATTGCCATCGGTGCGCAAGCATGCGCAAGTCATCGACTTCAACTTGGCCTTCAACTCACGCACTACGCGCCTGCAAACCTACCCGAAAGTAAGTCGCTGATGCTTAGCCAGCCTTCTTCTTCTTCGACGACGCGAGGACGCCGAAGAAGAGGTAGAGCAGCACGGCGTTGAAGGCCGCGTTCCCCGCGAGCGCGCCGAGGCCGCTGCACGTACTGGGCTCGCCGTGGACGCCCGACGCGAAGACGACGCAGAGCAAGAAGGAGGACACGAACTGGATGATCTGCACGCGCGTCACCCAGGCCTTCCACGACGTCTCGAGCTTGAGCGCCGCGCGCGCGTAGTAGACGTACATGAGCACGTGGACGGCGGTGTTCGCGATCAATCCGCCGAACGCGAGCGTCTGCCGGAACTCGAGGTACCCCCAGCTCATGAAGAGCACGCAGGCGTGGTGGAAGACGTGCATGCCGAAGTGGCGCGGCACGCGGCCGTGCACCAAAACGGGCAGGAACGTGTCGAGGAGCTCGTAGTACTTGCTGAGGTAGTACGCGTAGGCCCAAAAGTAGAGCTTCGGCGCCGCGCGTCGGTTCTCGCAGAAGAACCAGCTCCAGGAGTCTTCGAGCGCCGACCGGGCGAAGGCCTCGCGCAGCGCGCCGGCGCACATGACGAGCGACGCGACGGCGAGGACCGCCGAGTGCGCCGCCAAGACGTAGCTCGCGGAAGTGTGCTTGGGCGGCGTCCGCTGGTCGCAGGCGCGCTTCGCGAGCAGCGCCAGCAGCACGTACCAGACGGCCACCAGCGTCACGGTCGGACCGTGGCTCAGCGGCGCGGAGCGCCAGTGGAACTCGTCATAGGACACAGCCATCGGCGTTTATCTTGAAGGACACTGAAGGACTCGCTGAAAACATCAAAATCGCGGCTGGCTTGGCTGGGTCGCTCGGTCGGCGAGGGCTGGTGTAGGTCGCGGCTCGAGGCTGCCGCGTGTCGTCCGCGCCCCAGCGTCCGTCGGACCGGTTCAGACATAGAGAGGACGACGATTCGCGCGTCGAGCGCTCACAACAAGACGCCGCGTCGCGCCGTACACGGGGCTCACTAGCACATCCGCGTCGCCCGCCGCGGCCGCGATCGTGGCGTCGTAGGCCGCGACTCGCACGAAACACAAGAAGCATGGCCGCCTCCGACGGCGAGCTCTCCGAGGAGGAGGAGCCTGCGAAGAACGTGACGGCGTCGAAGAGCAGCAGCGAGGACGGCGCGGCCGCGGCGGACCGGCGCGTGCCCAAGAAGAAGCGGCTCGACAAGTCGCCGAGCTCGTCCGAGGACGTGTCGCAGCTCCAGCGGACCCTGCGGCAGCAGCAGGAGAAGCACCGGCCCGACGGCGCGCCGCCGCCGCGCGGGCCCGGCGACGGCGCGGGCGGCCGCGGCGGCGCGACGCCGCGCGGCGGCGACGGCGGCGGGCGGCCGCGGCCGGCGCCCTGGGAGGACGAGCGCCTGGACCCGGAGTCGCGGGCCATCCTCGGCGAGATGGGCCGGTCCGGGCGCCTGGGCCGCGACGAGATCGACGACGGCGCGATGCACTCGCTCGCGAATCTGCCGGAGAGCGACCGCCGCGGCGTCGTGCGCCACCTCGACTCCGTGCCGCGGCACAAGATCAAGAACATCTCGGCCTGGCTCTCCAAGGGCTGCGCCGCCGTCAAGCAGTCCCTGCGGTCCGGCGGCGGCGGCGCGCCGGGGCCCGGCGGCGGCGGCGGGCCGCCTCCGCCGCGCGACGACCGCGGCCGCGCGTCGCCGCCGGCGCACCGGGGCCCGCCGCCGCGGGCCGAGCCGGACCGCCGCGGCGGTGGGGCCACGCCCCGGGGCCCGCCCGACGACGACGACGCCGAGTTCGCCTTCTTCAGCCGCCTCGGCGGCATGCTCGCGCGGAACGACGTCGACGGCTCCGCGCGCGCGGCGCTCAGCTCGCTGAGCCGCGACGCCGCCGCGCGCATCGGCGACGAGCTCCGCGCGACGCTGAAGCAGTCCCACGTGCAGAACCCGTCGGCCTGGCTCATGGCGACGATCAAGCAGGCCGGCGGCGGCGCGCGGCGGCCCGACGGCCCGCCGCGCGCCGGCGGCGACTACGGCGGCCGCCCGCCGGACCGGGGCCCGCCGCCGCGCCACGGCGGCATGTCGCCCCACGGCGGCCCGCCGCCGCCGCCGGCCTTCGACGGCGCCTTCTACCCCATCGAGCGCGACTACGGCCTGAGCCTGCCCATGGTCGACCCGCGCGTCGTCCGCTCCATCCGGGGCCTCGACGACCACCTCCAGCGGCGCATCGCCGAGGACTTGTACCGCACGCTCAAGACGCAGCGCATCCAGAACCCGAGCGGCTGGCTCCTGGCGTCCTACCAGCGCCTCGCGCCGCCGCGGAGCCACCGCGGGCCCGACGACGCGCCGCCCCGGGGCGGCCGCGACGACGGCCGCCGCGACGCGCCCGACGGCCGCCGCGACGCGCCCGACGGCCGCCGCGACGCGCCGCCGCCGCCGGACGACCGCCGCCGCCGCGACGACCGCGAGCCGCCGCCGCCCCAGGACGACCGCCGCCGCGGCCGGAGCCGGAGCCGGAGCCGCGACCGCGACCGCGACCGCGACCGCGACCGCAAGCGCGGCCGCTCGGACTCGTCGCCGCGCCGCGACAAGCGCGCCGCCGCGCCGGCGCCGGCGCCGGCGCCCGCGCCGGCCGCCGAGGAGGCGGACATCTCGCTCGCGCGCGACTCGGGGCCCGTGCTCGACGCCGCGTTCAAAACCGTCGAGGACGCCTACGGCCTCGACCGCGACGACCTGGACCTCGACGTCAAGCGCGACCTGCTCCGGTCCCTCGACGACGACGTCTCCGGCGGCATCATCAAGTCGCTCTACAACACGCTCCAGGAGCGCGAGCTCCAGGACCCGCTCGCCTGGCTCCGGGAGCAGATCGGCATCGCGAAGCGCCTCCACAAGCGGACCTGAGACGCGGTTCCGCTTAACCTCCTATGTTGGACTACGTTCCTCGAGGCGCGCGAGCGCGTCGCCGAAGGAGAGGCGGTCTTCGGGCGCCGGCGCGGCCATGGCCTCCCGGATCGCGTCGACGGCCGCGGCGCCGTCTTTGTCCGGGCCCTTGCGGCCCTCGGCGACGACGAGGGGGAGCGCCCACCACGACGTCGCGACGTCCTTGACGTGCGGCAGGCGCAGCGCGAGCGCGCAGCGCCGCCGCTCGTCGAGGCACGGTTCCGCGCACCGCTTCCCGCACGTCGACGTCCGACGCCATTCGTCGCCGTCGCACGTCGCGGCGCAGGCCGTCGCCGCGTCGATGCCTCGCAACGCGCGTCGAAGCGGCGCCGCCAGCCCCCGGGGCTCGCCCCACGCGTACATGGGGCCGCGCAGCGGGTCCGGCGCGTCGACCATATAGACGGCGCCGCCCCGCAGCCTGTGTGGAATTCAAATCTTCAACCCGACTTCAATGTGCGCATATGCGACAGTTACGACGCAAGCTCGTCGGCTGTGCTTCGAGAACTCGACGAGAGCAATCGATTCGTCCAAAAATCAGCCGAATCGACTTCGATTTGATCGAGCTAGAGAATTCTGAAGTTTGGTCAGGACCACCCAAACCAGTGGTTGAATTCCACACAGCCCGCAGCGTGAGCTGACGGCTCGAGAAGTCCGTCTGGAAGTAGCCGCCCAGGTCGACGACGGACCGAAGGCAGGACAGCAAGGCCCGGGCCGCGCGCCGCGGCTCCGACCGGCAGAACGTCTTCCAGTCGGGACGCGTGAGCTCGCGGCCGCCGTCGTCGACGACGGCGGCGATCGCGACCGCGCCGCGGTGCTCCTCCGTGTACGCGCCCCGGAGCTCCGGCACGCCGGGCCGCCCGCGGAGCGCCTCGAGAAAGTAGAGCTCGCCGAGGAGGTGCGCCCTCCGGTGCTCGGGCGTGATCTTACCGTTCGGGCGCGGTCGTACGGTCCCGTCGGGCGCGAGCTTGCCGCCCGAGTCGACGACGGTCTTCACGACGACCTTGGCGCCGGACGACGCGAGGCGCCCGGAGCAGACGCGCTTCGACGCGCCGCGCGAGAGCTCGCTCCCCTTGCGGACGTCCGCGGGCGCTCGCACGTCCCACCAGGCCGGCGGCGCCGTGCCGTTGAGGAGCCAGCGTTCGACGGCTTCGACGCGCGCGACGTCATCCGCGCCGACGGGCTTGAGGTTTTGTGTGTGGGCTGCGGCAGCGATCGCGACGCACGATAGCAGCCACAGCATGGTCTTTACATCGTCTCTACATCTGAATTTGCGCAGCGTCAACATGGGGGGTACCTTGCAGTAAATTTTGCCACTGAGGTTTTTGCTCGCCCACGTCTGGGAGAGCGGATTCTGTCGCGCGTCCACCCAAGAGGGCAGCGGAACGCAAGCATGAAGGTGGCCATCGTCGTCACGGCGGCCAACGAGGCCCAGGCCGAGTCGTGCCAGAAGGAGCTCGACGGCCGGAAGGACCTGGCCGACTTCCTCTGCCTCGCCGTCGCGGACCCCGCGGGCTGCCGCATCGGCTCCGGCGGCGGCACGCTGAACGCGCTCGTCGCGGCCCACGACGCCATCGCCGGCCCGCACTCGCAGACCTGCGACTGGCTCGACGAGCACCTCGTCTGCGTCGTCCACAGCGGCGGCGACAGCCAGCGGTCGCCGAGCCAGAGCGTCTGCGGCAAGGCGTGGTCCACGCTGCCGCTCTTCGGCGGCCGCTCCGGCGGCGAGCTCGCGGCGCCCTTCGACCTCCTCGTAGACCAGCTGCTGGCGCTCTGCGCGGGCTGCACGGGCGGCTGCGTCGTCGCGTGCAGCGACGTGCTCCTGCACCTGCCGACGCTCGTTGAGGGCGCGCTCGCGGCGGGCCGGGGCGTGACGGGCCTGGCCGTGAACGCCGACGGCGCGCGCTACGGGCCGAAGCACGGCGTCTACGTCGCCGGCGGCGGCGACGCGGCGGCCGTCGGCGGCGCGGCCTGCGCGAACTTTCTGCAGAAGGCGTCGATGGGAGCGCTCGAGGCCGCGGGCGCCGTCGACGGCCGCGGCGAGGTCGCGCTCGACAGCGGCGTCCTCTACGTCGACGCGCCCACGTCGAAGGCCTTGTTGAAGCTCTGCACGGACGACGGCGGCGCCCTGCGATCCGCGACGAGCCGCGGCGCCGCGGGCGGCTGCGCGCGCGTCGAGCTCTACAGCGACGTCTTGAACGCGGTGTCCGGCGGCGGCTACGACGACTTTCCGACCTACGCGGCCATGAAGGCCGACGAGGCCGACCCGGCGAAGGTGCGCCGGTTCCGCGAGGCGCTCTGGGCGGCGCTGCGGCCCGTGGAGCTGCGCGTGCACCGGCCGCCGGGCGCGCGGTTCGCGCACCTCGGCACGACGGCGGAGTACATGGACCTGCTGACGCTGCCGAGCCTCTTTCGGGAGCCCTTCGGGCTGCGGCGCTTCGCGCGGAACGCGGCGCCGCCGGGCTGCCTCGTCGACGACGGCGCGGACGCGTGGTCCGTCGCTCTGAATTCCGTCATCTCGAAGCCGTCGACGCTCGCGGCGAAGGCCGTCGTCGAGCACTCGCGCGTCGACTCGCTGGACGGCCTGGGCGCGGGGTCCCTGCTCTCGTGCTGCCGGGGCCTGCCCGCGGACTTTTCGCTCGACGCGAAGACGATGCTCCAGCAGGTCCAGCTCCTCGACGGCTCGTTCGTCGCGCTGTTATTCGGCGTCGCCGACGACGTCAAGGCGCCCTTCGAGCACGCGACGTTCCTCGGCCGGCCCTGGGCCGACGCGCTGGAGCGCTGGGGCGCGGCGGCCGGCGATCTGTGGGCCGGCGAGCCCGGGAGCCTGTGGACCGCGAAGCTCTTCGCGCCCGCGGCGACGGGCGCCGCGGCCGCGCGGCTCTCCGCGGGCCTCCAGGCGTCGTCCGGCGACGCCGACGCGCGCGCGCTCTGGAAGCGCGCGCCGCGCCTGAGCATGCGCGAGGTCCTGGCCCGGGGCGACAAGGTCGCGGAGCTCGACTGGAAGCTGCGGCTCCGGCGCGAGGTGTCGGACCGCGCGGGCCCGTTCGCGGCCGCGCTCTCCGCGGCGCGGCCGGCGGACGACGCGACGGGGCTGCGCGTCGTCGACGGCCGCGTGAGCGAGCCCGTGGAGAGCCTGGAGCACCTCGAGGTCGCGTCGGGCGCCTGGGACGTGCTCGCGGTCACCGCGGACACGCGGAGGCAGGCGGACTACTACGTCCGCCAGCTCCGGTGCCGCCCCGGTTTAAAATGCCGGGAGATCGTCGGCGTCTGCACGTCCATCGACGCCGCGGGGAGCCGTCTCGGCAGCGGCGGCGCGACGCTCCACGCGCTGCTGACGGTCGCGGAGCGCCTCTCCGCGGCCGCCGGCGACGAGACGTGCTCCGCGGATCGGCTGCGAGGCAAAAAGGTGCTGATCCTCCACAGCGGCGCGTCGGGCTTGAACGGCGGCGCTCTGTGGCTGCCCGTCCCCCTCGACGCCGGCGGCGGGCCCGCGGCGTCCGTCGACGTCGTGCTGAGCGCGGTCAACGGCGCGGCGGCGACGTCGGGCCCGGGCGTCTGGGTCTGCTCCGGCGAGCTGCTCCTGTCGTCGGCGACGCGTGCCGCGCTGGCGAGCCTCGACTGGACGGCGGGCGGGCGGCGCGGCGCCGTGACGGCGCTCGCCGTGCCCGGATCCGGCGCCGTCGCCGCGAAGCACGGCTGCTTCACGAGGATCGACCCCGAGGCGACGTCGGGCGCCGCGGCGGCCGTGCGGGGCTTCGAGTACATGCCGCGGGGCGCGCCGGCGGGGACCCTCGTGGCCTGCGGGATCTTCCGCTTCGAGACGGAGGCCGCGCTCGCGTTTTTGGACGCGCACGCGGTGCCGCCGTTCTCGTCGTGCACGGCGCCTGGCGTCGACGACGGCCTCGCGCCGGCGCCCTTCAGCCTCTTCCTGGACGTCATCCCGGCGCTCCTCGGCGCCGCGGCGCCCCCGGCGGCGCTCGCGCTGCGGGGCGTGCTGCGGAAGCGCTGCGCGCTGTACGCGGTGGCCGCGGGGCCCGAGAAGGGCGACGCGCCGCTCTTCTTGAAGCGGCCGCGCGACTGCCTCGACTTCGGGTCGTCCATGGGGAGCTATGTGAAGGAAGAAGAAGGCTCCTTCACGCGCAAGGCCGTGGTCTTGAATTCCGTGCTCGGGGGCGACGGCGCGGTCGCGGAGCGCGCGGTGCTCGTGAACTGCCGCTTCGCGCCCGGAAGTGCGTGGTCCGTGGGCGCGGGCTGCGTCGCCGTCGGCCTCCGGGACGCCGACGTCCTCGAAGCGTTGCCCGCGGGCGTCTGCGCGCACCGCGTGCCGCTGCTGCGGCGCGGCGCGCACGTCGTCGTCGCGCACGGCGTCGACGACGACGTCGAGGGCACGCGATTCCGCGGCGCGGACCTCGAAACCGACGTGCTCCCGCGCCTGCGCAACGTCGCCGCCGAGGATCTCTGGCGGCCCGGCGACGTCCGGTGCCTCGCGACGGCGCGGCTCTTCGCCGTCGGGGCGCCGCCGCCGGGCTGGCTCCTGGCCGCGGCCGCGGGCGACGCGCGCGCCGCGCCCGGCGGGTGGCTCCGGAGCGACCGCGTGTCGCTGCGCGAGGCCTACGACGACTGCGACGTCGTGAGCGACGGCGCCTGGGCCGCGGAACTCGAGGTGCGGAGCCGCTGCGACTTCGTGAAGCGCGCGCTCGAGGGCCGGTCGCCCGTCGGTTTAAGACCGACGTACGACCGCTTGGCGGCGCTCGCGGCCGGCGACCGCGCGATCCTCGACGGCGTGCTCGACGTGCTCGACGGCTGCGCGCGCGGCGCGGCGACGGACGCGACGCGCCTCGACGTCGCCGCGCGCGCCCTCGCGCACGGCGCGGACTGCCTCTGCGCGTTCGCGAAGCGCGCGGGCGCGCTCGAGCTCCGGAGCGGCGCGGCGCGGAACCCGCACTGGGCCCGCGCGCTCGGCGCGCTCGACGCCGGCGAAGGTTTGGTGGCGGCGCTCGGCGCGCTCCGGGACGCGACGGCGTCCTGGATCGAGGCGGGCGGGTGCCTCGTGCGCGCCGCTCGCCACCACGAGGCCGCGGCCGCGCGCCTCGTGTCGGCGGCCGTCGGCGCGTCGCTCCGGAGCTCGGGCGCGTCGACACGCGGCGCGCCGACCTTCGTCGCCGGCGCCGTCGAGGCGACGGCGCCGCTCCGCGTGGACCTGGCGGGCGGCTGGACGGACACGCCGCCGGTGGCGTTCGAACACGGAGGCGTCGTGACGAACGTCGCCGTGCGCCTCGACGGCCGGCGGCCCATCGGCGCGCGCGCGACGCGGCTCGACGCGCCCGTGCTGCGCTTCCGGGTCGAGACGGCCGACGGGTCGGTGCTGGAGACGGAGGCGGCGGCGCTCGCGGATCTCGACGACCGGTCGAACCCGCAGGCGCCCGCGGCGCTCCTCAAGTGCGCGCTCGTCGTCTGCGGCGTCGTCGACCCCCGGGGCGCGCCGCTGGACGTCCAGCTCGCCGCGGGCGGCCTCGAGGTGGCGTCCTGGAGCCGCGTGCCCACGGGCTCGGGCCTCGGCACGTCGTCGATCCTGGCCGCGTGCCTCGTCGCGGCCATCGGCGGCGCGGCCGACGCGGCCTACGACGTCGACGCGCGGCGCCGCGACATCGTCCACGACGTCATGCGCGTCGAGCAGGAGCTCACGACCGGCGGCGGCTGGCAGGACAACGTCGGCGGCGTCTACGGCGGCGCGAAGATCGCCGTCAGCCCGCCGCGCCTCCCGCTGACCGTCGACACGACGGCCGTCCCCATGGCGCCGGGCCTCCTCGACGCCCACCTCGTGCTCGCCTACACGGGCCGCGCGCGCTTGGCCAAAAACCTCCTTCAATCCGTATTACGGAAGTGGCACGCGCGACTGCCGGGCATCACGACGACGACGGACGCGCTCGTCGCGGGCGCGCGGCGCGCGGCGGCCGCGCTCGAGGCCGGGGACCTCGCGAGGCTCGGCGCGGCGCTCGACGCCTACTGGGCCCAGAAGAAGACGATGGCCGACGGCGCGGAGCCGGCCTTCATCCGCGACATGATCGCCGCGCTGCGGCCCCGCGTCCACGGCGCCGCGCTCTGCGGCGCGGGCGGCGGCGGCTTCCTCTGCCTCATCACGAAGCAGCCCAACGACGTCGACGCGATCCGCCGCGTCCTCGAGGCGCACGCGGACCTCGGCGACGTGAGCCTCCACGTCGCCACCGTGGACCGCGAGGGGCTCACGCTCGCGCGGTCGTGAAGAAGGTAAAATTTAAACCTTGCGCTGGCTCTGGGCCGGACTGGTGCGGAGCGCCTCGCCGAGGCTTTCGCCGAGGGACCGGAGGGGCGCGAGCCAGTCCGCCGCGCGCGCCTGCGGCGGCTCGAAGCCGTCGGGCAGGTTCACGTAGCGTCGCGTCACGCGCCGCGAGAGGTCGCAGGTCAGATCCGACTGGGCCGTGGCGAGGTCGTCGGCCGTGTCCGCGAGGCTCTGGCCGCCCAGGCCCCAGAGCGCCGCGAAGTCGCCCACGCGGACGGCGGCGCCGGGGCCGTCGGGCGGGCCGAGGTTGACCATGGACATGTCCATGCAGACCTTGCCCGCGATCGTGAACTCGTGCCCCCGTATGCCGACCTTGCCGCGGTTGCTCAGCGACCGCGAGTAGCCGTCCGCGAAGCCGACGGCTAAGGTGGCGATGAGGCAGTCGCACGGCGCGATCCAGGAGCGGTCGTAGCCGACGGTCATGCCCTTCTCCAGGCGGTGCACGTGGCGCACCTGCGCCTTGAGCGTCATCACCGGTTTGAGGACGGAGTGGTGCCGCTGGCCGTAGAGCGCGCCGCCGACGCGGCAGAAGCCCGCCGTGTCCGGGCCGAGCAGTTGCCGCATGCGCTCGGGCCCGACGAGCTCCGAGAGGAGCGTCTCGCTGTTCTCGCAGTGGACCATGGGCACGCAAACCCCCTTGTCCCGCAGCGCGAGGACGATGTCGCGGAAGCGGCCGAACTGGCGCTGCGTGTAGCGGTGCGTGTTCGCCGTCGCGTCGGCCATGTGCGTGCACAGGCCGACGAAGGCGAGCGCGGGCGCGGCGGCGACGCGCGACACGACGTCGACGGCCTCGTCGACGAAGATGCCGTGGTACTCCTGGTCGCGGCCCGACGAGCCGACGGACGACGCCGACTCGCTCCGCTTGAACGTCGGCGGCGGCGCGGGCGGCGCCGGCGGCCCCTCGGCGAGGGGCCGGCCCTCGGGCAGGTCCCCGAGAGGCGCGAAGACGTCCGAGAGCGCCGCGCGCTTCGGCGCCGCCGCCGCGCGGCCGTGCGTCTCCGTGGAGCTGTCGAAGGCCGCGAGGCCGATGCGGTTCATGCCCGTGTTGAGCATGACGTGGACCTTCAGCGCGTCGCCGCTGCCCGGCAGGGCGCAGAGCAGGCGCGCCGTCGCCTCCGACTCGATGACCAGCTCGATGCCGAACTTGGCGAAGATGGCCCACTCGTCGGGCACGGACGCGCCGAGGACGACGACGCGCACGGGCAGGTCGAGGCCCGCGGCGCGGAGCTCGAGCGCCTCCGGAAGCGTCGCGACGGCGAAGAAGCCGATGCCGCAGTGGCGGTGGAGCACGCGCGCGACGACCGCGGCGCCGTGGCCGTAGGCGTCGGCCTTGACCACGGCGACGACGCCCGTCTCGCCCGACTCCGTCGCCTGTTTCTGGCAGGCCGCGCAGTTCTCGATGAGGGCGCCGACGTCGATCTCCGCGCAGACGCGCGGCGCCAGCTCGCCGCGAAAATTGGGGAGCGACGCGAGCTCCGGCGCGAGGACCTTGACGTAGGGCTCGAAGCGGCTGTGGTGCCAGCCGCTGCGGAGCTTGGAGAGGTCGTCCTGCGAGGCCATGTTCTTGCTGGCTGAATGCGTCTCTAGACGTAGGGGTCCCGGGAGGAGCTGCGGGAGAGGCACTAGTCGACGGCGCGCATATTCTTGCCACACCCGAGGCGGAGTTCGCATTGCCGTCAACGTTGACATTGAGGCTCAAGAAGACTCTTCTGGGGCTGCTCGAACGATGATGACCCGCGCGCTGCTGCTGTTGCTGCCCCTCATCTCGCATGGCAAGGTCGTGAAGGAGACGCTCGTGCTCGAGGAGTGGGTCGTCGACTACTTGCGACCCACCGTCGATCGGCAAGACTCGGCCAGCATCCTCCCGTTCCAGCACCCCGCGGCGCGCAAGTCGCCCTTCGACATTCCCGACGCGCAGCGCTCCGTGAAGTACCTCGTCAACGGCTCCTACCCCGGACCCACCCTGCGCGCGATGGAGAACGACACGTTCGAGATCACCGTGGTCAACAACCTCTTCAGCGAAGCGACGACGATCCACTGGCACGGCATCCACCCCTTCGCGACGCCCTACATGGACGGCGCGCGCGGCGTTACGCAGGGTCCCATCGGCCCGGGCGAGAACTTCACCTACCGCTTCGCCGCGTGGCCGCCGGGCACGCACTTCTACCACTCGCACATGGACGCGGTCCAGGCGTCGCGGGGCATCCGCGGCGGCATCATCGTCGACCGCGCGGACGACCCCGTGCGCGCCCGCTGGCCGGACTACGAGGACCAACTGGTCTGGCTCGCGGACGAGTGGCGCGACCCATCGGCGTGCCTGAAATTGGAGGGCGCGGTGCCGGGCAACGACGTCTGCGCGGACATGCGCCACGCGTCCTTCAACGGCGCCTACGGCAACGGCTCCGACGCCTACCCCTACCCGCTGCTCCCCGTGAAGAAGGACACGTGCTACCGCATGCGCTTCGTCCTCGCGGGGTCGAACACGGAGAATTTGATCGTCGCGATCGCGGGCCACAACATGACCCTCGTGTCGCTCGACGGCGCCTACGACGTCGAGCCCCTCGCCGTGTCGTCGTTCAACGTCCACCTCACGGAGCGCTACGACGTCATGCTCTGCGCGGACCAGGCGCCGGGCAACTACGTCGTCAACGCGACCTACGACTACGCGTGCGCGCTGACCGCGGGCCACTTCATCCCGCCGGGCTTCGCGACGGTGCCCGAGTGCGTCTTCCACGCGTTCCTCCACTACGACGAGGCCGGCGTGTCGTCGACGCCCCAGGACCTCGGCGGCACCGAGGGCGGCGCGCGGCCCGCAAAGGTCGCGGGCGTGCCCTTCGACCTCACGCAGCCGAGCCACTGGAACCTGACGAGGCCGCTGGTCTCGTCGCCGGAGAAGGACGAGGCCGACGTCCAGATCACGCTGAACCTGGGCATCCAGGCGCCGACCTACGACGGGCCGACGGACCGGCCCCTGACGAAAGGGCGCTGGTACTTCGACTTGAAGGAGCGGGACCCCCCGCGGCCCTGGGTCGTGCCGCGGACGCCCTTGTACATGACCAAGGGCACCTGCGGGCTGCCCGCGGACATTCCCGTCATCGACATCCCCGAGAACGCGACGACCGTGGAGGTCGTGATCCAAAATCTGTCGCCGAACGCGCACGTGCTCCACCTGCACGGCATGCCCTTCAAGGTCGTCAACGTCGCCGATTTCACGTCGTGGTGCGGCCTCGAGCAGACGAGCTGCTTCACGCTGCCCTGGTGGAGCCCCTTCGACGTGCTCAACAAGTGCCCCACGGAACTGCGGACGCCGGGCGATCCGGACAAGAAGACGGGCGACGAGCTCTCGTTCTATTGGGGCTGCGCGTACGACCCGGAGACGGACGCGAAGACGCGGAACCTGGAGACGCCGCTCCTGAAGGACGTGCTCCAGGTCTGGCAGCGGAGCTGGACCGTGATCCGCTTCGAGGCGACCCGGCCGGGCTACTGGTACTTCCACTGCCACGAGACGCAGCACCTGATGCTCGGGCTGCAGGTCGTCTTCAACGTGCTGCCGTCGCAGCAGCCGCCGGTGCCGGACGACGTCCCCTCGTCGGGGAGCTGCCCGGCGGTCCACGGGGTGCACGTCGACTACGAGTGAGCGGCGTGGCGCGCACGCCGCTCTTAATTTCGATCGGGAGAGCGGCTTCAACACGACATCAAGTTGCCCACTTGCCTTCTGCGAATTCCTTATGGCTTCTTCTTGGATGCGCCTCGTGGCGGTGCTGGGGGTCGCCCATGGCCTGGTCACGCCACACATCGCAAAACGATTCAATCCGCGGCGCGCGGCGACCCTCGAGCCGCCGAAACAGGAACTGCCGACGCTCCCGCTCCTGCGCTTCGCGTCGCCGGGCCTCGCGGACTGGACGAGCGCGCACCTGCTGGCGGCGCCGTCGCAGCGCCTTTTAGCCGGCGTCTCCGCGGACCGCGCCGCCGCGGACCGCATCACCGTCGTCGGCGGCCTCGTGAACGTGGGCCTCACCGTCGCCAAGCTCGCCGCGGGCGTCGTCGGCCACTCGGCGGCGCTCATCTCCGACGCGGCGCACAGCGCGTCGGACCTCGCCTCCGACGTCGTCACCTTCGTCGCCATGCGCGCCGCGCGGCTGCCCGCGGACGACGACCACCCCTACGGGCACGCGCGCTTCGAGACCATCGGCGCGCTCGTCGTCGGCGCGATGCTCGTCGCCGCGGGCGCCGGCGCCGCGGGCCACGCGCTCCACGTGGGCGGCCACGCGCACCACCACGTGGCGCCGGGCAAGATCGCCCTCGCGGCCGCGCTGCTGAGCGTCGTCGCGAAAGAGCTGCTCTTCCGCGCGACGGCGCGCGTCGGCCGGCGGCTCAAGTCGCCGGTGCTCGAGGCCAACGCCTGGCACCACCGCTCCGACGCGCTCTCGTCCGTCGTCGCCCTGCTCGGCGTCGCCGCCGCGCGGCTCCCCGGCGGCGCCTTCGCGTCCGCGGACGCGCTCGCCGGTTTAGCCGTCGCGTGCATGCTCGGGTGGACCGGCGCGCGCATCGCGCTCGGCGCGCTGAAGGAGCTCAGCGACGCCGTGGACCACGGCGATCTGGACGGGCTGCGGTTCCGCGCGCTCGGCGTGCCCGGTGTAGCATCCGTCGCTTCCATGCGCGGCGTCGCCGTCGCCGGCGCGCTCCGCGTCGACGTCGACGTCGTCTCCGACGCGGACGAGCTCAGCTCGTCCGCGGCGAACCAGCTCGCGGAGAAGACGCGCGTCGCGCTGCTCGCGACCGACGACGGCGGCGACGACGACGGCCGCGCCCACGCCCACGGCCACTCGCACGGCCACTCCCACGCGCACGACCGCGAGGGCCCGCCGCGCGTCGCCGAGGCGACGGTGCGCGTCGTCCCCGCGGAGAAGACGTGCCCCGTCGTCGCGTCGCTGCCGACGCAGGCGACGCTCGACGGCGCCGTCGCCGCGGCCCTCGAGCGCCGCGGGGACGTCAAGCTCAAGAAGACCCAGGTCCACTACGTCGACGGCCTGAAGACCGAGCTCGACGTCTTCCTCGCCGCGACGACCGCGTCCGGGGACCGCGTCGCCGACCTCCGCGCGGCCGCGCGCGCCGTCGCCGTGGACCTCGACGCGGCCCTCGAGCCCCGCGCCACGGTCCAGAACGTCTACTGGACCCTCGACGAGTAAAGGAGCCCTGTTGGAGTAGTTATTGGTGCCGTGTGAAGGTCATGGTCGAGCGATTTTGACGTTGACTTCAAGGTGAACTTTGGGACCTGCTTGAGCTATGCGTCGCGCTTTAGCCAGCGCAGCTTCGAGTCCCTGCACCAGAACGTTGCGACGACGCCATCGCCGCCCCCTCGCCACGACCGCGGCGTCGGACGCGCGCGACGCGGCGCTCTTCCAGACCCTCGTGTCCGAGGCGCGGGAGGCGTCGGAGTGCGACGACACGACCTTCAGCTCCGGCATGGACGCGCTCCTCGCCTGCGAAAACCTCTTCGAGGCCGTCGCCGAGGTCGTCTCCGCGAAGCTCGCGCGCGACGTGAGCGACACGCGCCTGCCGCGCGCGGCGCTCCGGGCCATGTTCCTCGAGACGTTGCAGGGCGACGAGCGCGTCGGCGCGGACGTCGCGGCGATTCTGGAGCGGGACCCGGCGGCGATGACGCATTTGCAGTGCGTGGCCTACTTCAAGGGCTTCCACGCGATCCAGGCCCAGCGCTGCGCCCACGCCTACTGGCGCCGGGGGGGCTTCGAGAACGACCACGTGTCGTTCGCGCTCCAGGACCGCGTCAACGAGCTCTTCGCCGTCGACGCGCACCCGGGGGCGACGATCGGCGGCGGCTGCTTCATGGACCACGCGACGAACGTCGTGATCGGGGAGACGGCGGAGATTGGGAGGGACTGCACGATCTTGCACGGCGTCACGCTCGGCGGCGCGGGCCGCGCGCGCGCGAAGCGCCACCCGACCGTGGGCGACCGCGTGACCATCGGCGCGGGGGCGACGATCATCGGGCCCATCACCGTCGGCGACGACGCGACCGTCGCCGCCCAGGCCGTCGTCTCCGTGGACGTGCCGCCGGGCGCGACCGTCGTCGAGACGAACCGGTTCCTCTACCCGTCGGACCACCACGCCCTCAAGGAGCGCGACCCGGGCCTCTGGCAGTACGACCCCACGCTCCACGCCCAGGGCGACCGGCCGAAGCGGAGCGACTGCAAGTGGCCCTACGACGACGACGCGCCGCCGAAGCCGTCCCTCCCCGAGGGCATCTAAGGTTTTGTGTTCTTCCCGTGTCTCAGGTTTTGTGTTCTTCCCGTGTTACCCTTGGCGCGCTCAGAGCTCGGAGGCGACGCCCTGGCAGTCGAGCATCTCCATGGTGAAGATGAGGACGCTGTTCGCGGGGATGCGCTCGCCCTTGGCGCGCGACCCGTAGGCGATCTCGGGCGGGCAGACGAGCTCCCACTTGCTGCCGACGGTCATCATCTGCATGGCCTCGGTCCAGGCCTTGATGACCTGGCGCGGCGCGAACGTCGACGGCTTGCCGCGCGCGATGCTGCTGTCGAACGTCGCGCCGTCGGGGTAGTTGGCGGCGATGCGGCCCTCGTAGTGGCACGAGCAGGGCGTGTTGACGCTCGGCGAGCCGCCCTTGCCGTCCTGGAGCACCTTGTACATGAGCCCAGACTCCTTGACGACCGCACCCTCCTCCGTTGCGTATTTCTCGAGGAAGGCCTTGGCCTCGGCGTTGGCGGCCGTGTCCTTGATGGCAGAGACGCTAGCGACGACGCATGCGAAGAAGAAAGCGACGAGCTTCATGATTGATGCTATGCGACAGCGCTGCAAGCGATGAGACGCCGATGGCCGCGATGCGACAGCGCTGCACGCGATGAGACGCCGATGGCCGCGCCTCGATAGCAAGGGGTAATAAATAGTATGGGGTGGCAGCTCAACGAGATTATGTTGCGCGAGCTCCTCGTACTGCAACCCATCGTTTTGGGGCAATGTTGACGACTTTTGGCCGGGGACTTTTCGACGCCGCCGTCGTCGACGCGGCCCCAGACGGACCGCAGCGGTATTCGCTCCCCCGCGAAGGCGCCCGCGACAAGACTTACGCGTCCGGGCGGTTCGGGTCCGGTGGAAGGAAACCGAGGCGCGCTGGAGGGCACCGTGTCCGGTTTGGCGCCACGCGAGGAAGGGGGTTTTGGGGCAGCTCTTGGACGTGTTCGCGATGATGATGGTCGTGGACCGTCTGCTGGCGCTGCAGAGCCCTTCGTTGGTACCTATGGATGGGCTCGAGCATCTCAGGACACGAAAAGTTCTCGACCTCGAATGCCCGCACGCTGCCCGAGAAACTGTGTTGCGACACCGTCGGCGCCGGGGCTGCGCAGGCTCTGAGATCGTGGGAAAAGTGTGTCCTGAAGGTTTCGAGCCCCCCGCGGGTACCCATAGGGCGCCTCCAACCTCTAAGGACAAGAAAATATCGCACACTCGACTCACACCGCCGCCCTCTCGTCCCGCCGCCGAACAACCGTCGCGCTCGCGAGCCAACGCAATGATCTCAGCAGCCCAAATTCGCTGCCCCGCCCCGTCGAAGGGTTCCGCAGCCGCGCCGCGCCGCGCGACCCGCCATCGTTGCACTCAGCCCGCGCGCTGCGGCGTGGAAGAAGAAAGAAAACGCTAGCGGCGGCCCCGAGTAGTACGAGGACCTCGCGTTTCGCCTGCCACCCCATCTAGATTTATATCCCCTTGTCGATAGCTCCACGCGGCGGCACCTTCGCCTGCTTTACCCCATATTGCAGTCGCCCATAGAGGTCCATAGGCTGCCCACCCGACACCGTCCAAAGGTTGGATGAGTATAAAACGACGACGAGCGCGGTGTGTGTGTGTGTGTGCAGGGGGCGCCGCCGCGTCAGTAGGCCGGCGGCGGCGGCGGCGGCCCGCCGAAGGTCGGCGGCGGCGCGAGGCCGCTGTAGTCGGGCATCGTGTGGCCGTACTTGGCCTTGAGGCTGGGGTCGCTGGCCGAGGAGTGGAAGCCGTCGGCGTAGCGGCGGCCGATGGCGTCGACGCGCTTGGAGCAGAAGCTGTAGCGCGCGTCGCCGACGGGCTGCTCGCCCGGCGCGGCCGGCATCGGCGGCGGCGGCGCGCCGGCGCCCGGCGGCGGCGGCGGCGGCGCGAGGCCCGCGGGCGGGCCCGGCGCGGCGGGCGCGACGGGCTGGGGCGCGAAGCTCGGCGGCGCCGCCGGCTGGGGCGCGAGGGGCGCCGCCTGGGGCCGGAGCGGCGCCGCGGCGGCGACGTTCACGGCCGGCGAGAACGGCGTGAAGGGCACGAACGCCGGCCGCGGCGCGCTCGGCGACGGCGGCGGCGGAACGAAGGCCGGCGGGTCCGGCTCGGGCGCCATGGCGGCCGGGTGCGGCGGCGGCGCGGCGGGCGGCGCGGCGGGCGCGGCGGGCGGCGACGGCGGCGGCGCGCCGAAGGACGCGGGCGCCATGGGAGCGGCCGGCTGCATCGGCGCCATCGGCGCCGCGGGCGCCATGGGAGCCGCGGGCGCCATGGGCTGCATGGGCGCCGCGGGCTGCATCGGCTGCATCGGCTGCATGGGCTGCATGGGCGCCGGGGGCGCCATGACGGGCATGGGCGCCGGCGGCGGCGCCGGCGCGCCGGGGAAGAAGTCCGCGGCGGCGTACTTGCCGCTCGCCGACGTCGGCGCGTAGGCCGCGGGCGCCGCGGGCGCGCCGAGGCCCACGGGCGGCGCGCCGAAGTCGAGGGCCTGCGCCGGCGCCGCGTGGCCCGTGACGCCCATGGGCGGCGGCGGCGCGGCCACTCCCGGCTCGCCCTCCTGCTCCGCGCGGAGCTGCAAAGGCAGGAGCCACTGGCGGAGGCCGAGGTCGCGGCAGACGTCGTAGGCCGTGCCCCGCCGACCGTCGCGCGCGACGACGGACGCGCCGCGCTCCACGAGGCACTTGGCCGCGCGGCTCGCGCCGGCCTTGGCCGCCTTGTGCAGCGGCGTCTCGTGCGTCCGCCGGTCTCTCACGTCGACGTCCGCGCCCTCCGCGATGAGGTACTCGACGCACCGCACGAAGTCGGCCTCCGCGGCGACGTGGAGCGGCGTGAAGTCGAAGCCCCCGACGCCCCCCATCTGGTTCAGCGACCCCGCGTCCAAATAGTTGCTCCGCAGGAGCTCCTCGGTCCGCGCCCAGTCGTGGCGCCGGATGGCGATGTGGAGCTCGTGCGTCGGCGACTGGACCGGCGCCACGACGTCGCCCACGCGCTCGATGAGGCCGTTCGTCTTCTCGAAGACGTTGTTCAGCACGCCGCGCCAGGCCATGCTGCCGTGCAGCGGCGACGCCGGGATCGATGCCTTCGTGGCCTCGAGCGAGCCGCCAAGTGAGCCGCGCGCCCCGGGTTTCTTGCTCGGCGCCGTGCGCGGCGTCCGAGGCCTCGTCGGATGGCCGCCGACGCAAATTTAGTAGTCCCCGTGGATGCCCGCGCCCGTGTGGGCCTCCTCGAGGGTCGCGTCCTCGCTCTCCCCCGGGAAGTAGCGCATGAGGCTCGCGGCGTCCGGCGCGTCGACGTCGGGCACGCGCGACTGCGCGGCCTGGTGGATCGTCGGCTCCGTCTTGCTCGGCGTCTTCGCGGCGTAGTCCGGGTCCATGGAGAGGCAGACCTTGCCCCGGTAGTCGCGGACGACGAGCATGGCGATGCCGTTGCGGAACTTGTCCATGGGGAGCACCGTCGTGACGTCCGGCGTGACGCGGCCCTCGGCCCAGAGCTTCGCGACCTGGGCCGCGGAGTCCTCCATCTCCTTGGGGTACTGGAGGGGCGACCTGGAAGCCACACATCGGGAGGGATATGACACGAAAAAGGACGCCGCGGTACGCGCGTCCAGACGCCGTGGATCGCGATGTTGCGCTGCAGGAGGTGCTCGAGCGACACCGTCGGGATCTTGCCGCTCGCGAAGCCCACGGTGAGCAGCGCCCCGCCGACCTTCATGCAGCGGAGCACGGAGAAGATGTAGTCGCCCCCCACGGGGTCGAAGACGATGTCGACGCCGCCGGGCCGCGCCTCGAGCACCCGGTCGTGCCAGCCGCGCCGCGACACGTCGACGACGCCGTCCGGCGCCGCCGACTTGCGCACGTCGCCGTCGGTCTTCGTCGTGCACCGCAGCGTGAACGCGCCGAGCACCTTGCCGACCTCCACGGCGGCGACGCCGACGCCGCCGTTCGCGCCGAGCACGGCGAGCGCCTTCCCGTCCCAGCCCGTCTTGAGGATGGGCCGCGTGCGGTGGCCCAGGGCGAAGTAGGCCGTCACGTAGTCGCTTCCCAGGCTCACGAACTCGGAGAAGTCCTTCATGCCGCACGTGTCGGGCAGCTTCACGCACTGGTAGTCTGCGGGCGGGGCGGGGGGGGGGTTCGCGGTCGGCGCGCGCGCGGCCCTCTCACGGCGACGCCGCGCCCGCGCCGTGCAGCAGGAGCTCCTCGGCGCAGGTGCCGCAGGTCCAGGGCATGACGACGCCGACCTTGTCGTTGATCTTGAACTTGGCGCTGTTGATGACCGCGACGACGACGCCGCACGCCTCCGCGCCGGGGCACATGGGCGTCTTGGGCCGCTTCTCGTACTTGCCGTGCATGCCCAGGTAGTCGCTGTAGGAGATGCCCGCCATGCGCACGGACACGACGACCATGCCCGCGCCCACGTCCTTGTCGCGCAGCGACGCCGAGGCGAGCCTGTCGCTGATGGACTCCGCCGCCGGCAGCATGGGCCGCGGCACGTCCGTCCACTCGATGGACCCGCCGATGGACCGGATGCGGATCGCCTTCATCGACCCGTTCGGATACTCCTCGACGGGCGCCGCGGGCTTCGATCGCCACGGGCGGTGGCCAAAAGACGACATCGTATGGCGCAGCCCCGGGGGCTCGTGTGGGCAGCTTCTAAGCACTGCTCTTGACCAGCAAGTTGCAGGTTTTTAGGACGACGCGCTGGGCTGGGCAGCCTCGACGGCATGGCCGGAGACATCCTCGAGAAGGTCACACATTTGCTGCTCGAGGACGACGCCTTCGCGCGGGAGCTCGAGGAGTGGTGCCTCGGCCACTGTGGCGGCTTCGACCTGGACCAGGCCGACGACGAGCACTCGCTGGCCTACACGGACTTGCACGGCCAATTCTGCCTACTCTTCGAGAAGCGCATCGAGCGATTCCTCGACGGCGAGGGCTACTCGACGGCCGAGTTCTGGCAGAAGCTCACGAAGGCCGTCGACGACGACCGACCCCTCGAGGGCGAAGGGCGCGTGCTCCTCTCCCGCGCGCCGCCGCGGCGACGCCGCGCCCGCAGGTTCATGCTCGAGGCGCTCAAGACGACCTGCGACTACGAGCAGTTCGTAGCGCCGCGGCGTCCCCGCTTTGTTCGAGGAGACGCGGTCTCGTAGGCCGTCACGATGCGCCAGATGAAGCGGGAAAGCGCGCGGGACTAACGTGCTAGCTTACGGGGCTCCCGCAGAAGTGGGCCCAGATGGCCATGTCCGACGCGAAGTAGTCCTCGAGCCACGCGCGCGCGTCCGCCGCGAGGGGCGTCTGGTCGCGGCCGAGCTTGTTCGCCACGGGCACCTCGCAGATGCGCGGGTCGCGGAACCGGTCGCGGAGCTGCTCGTGGATCGGCGGAGCGCCGCCGCCGACGCACACGACGACGTCGTCGAAGTCGGGGCGGCGCAGCACGTACTTCGACTGGCCCGTCTTGCCGTGCTCCGCCGTCGCCTTCGACCGGAAGCTCTCGAAGACGGCGCCGAGGTCGACGGTGCCGTTGGGCAGCGACCACTTGTCGTCGACCTCGTGCCGCGCGTAGAACAGCGTCGACGACGCCCAGTGCTCCACCGGGTGGCGGAGCGCGACGACGATGGGCCGCGCGTGCGCCTCGTCCGGCCGCGTGTGCCAGCCGCTGCTCCGCTGGGCGCCGAGCGACCAGCAGACGTGGCTCCGCAGCGCCGCGTCCCACTGCACCTGGTTGTAGAGCGCCGTCGAGCCCGTCTTGGGCGACCGGTAGAGGTCGTGCGTGCAGGTGCGGTTCGCGTCCGACGCGACGGGCAGCAGGTACGCGTCGTCGCGCCTCAGGTGCGTCGCGGCGTCGTGCGACGTGAACAGCGCCGCGCAGCGCGGCGAGAGCACGTGCTCGTCGTCGAAGGCTGCAGTGAAGGACAGCAGAAGCAGCGCGAGGCCTCGCATCATCATGGAAGCAGCGCGAGCCGTCGCATAATCTTGGGCAGCCCATTAAAAAGCAAGTTGAGCGGCAACATCTTTGCCGAAATCGGGACTTCTGCCACAAAGCTGTGATCGTCATAAGCTCGTCCCGCCGCACAAACCATGTCGGCGTGGACGCGCTTTATTACCTATATGCGCTGGCCAGCTCGAGTCATCGCAATTCCGGCGGTCGTCGCGGCCTGCGCGCTCCTGGAGACCTTCTTTTTGTACGCGACGACGAGCGGCGAGTTTTGCTCCTACGCCATGTCCATGGACATGAAGATGGAGGGTTTCAAGACGATCTGGGCGGACCGCGAGATGACGAGTTGCGTCGTGCTCTTCGCGCGCCTCCGGCGCCCGCGCGAGCGAGACGCGCGCGCGCGCGCGCCGACCGCCGCGTCCCCCGCCGCAGAACTCGGCGTGGGTCCTGCGCACGCGGCGAGAGTTCCTGCTCGCCTTCACGATGATCATGCTCGTCGCCGCGTGCTCCGAGGCCCTGGGCTACGAGCGGCGGCTCCTGCGCCAGGCGTCCATGGCCGCGAAGGGCCGCGGCGCCGCGCTCGGCGCGAAGGACAGGATCCTCATCGCAGCCGCCTTCACGATCCACATCACCCTCGGCTACCTGCTCATGCTCTGCGCCATGACCTACCAGGTCGAGCTCCTCTTCGCCGTCTCCGCGGGCCTCGGCCTCGGCCACTTCGTCTTCAACGCGGACGCGAACCCGTCGGAGCGCATCGACCCGTGCTGCGGCGACGAGGCCGCGACGGAGAAGTCGCCGCTCATGAACGCGTGAGGGTTGGTAAGAGCTTGGTGTGGTGTGTGCGACGTGCGACGTGCGACCCCTGGTGCGCCGCGCGGCAAGCAAGCGCGAGTCTCGTCTGATGGATCAGCTCCAGGCTCATGCGAGCGACGATTCGAGCGACGAGTACGGCGCTCAATATGATGAGAGCGACGGCGCACCGCCGCCGGAGGGGCCTTCGCAGCTGGACGAGCCGCCGCCGGAGGGGCCTTCGCCGCTGCTCGCCGCTGTGCGGGATCGCAACATAGAGCGCGTGCGCGCCCTGCTGGAGGAAGGCCACCGGCCCAAGCCCGCGGAGTGCTTGCTCTCCGAGGCTTGCCGTTGTAGGCGCCTAACAGACAAGGATACGCATCCCGCAGAATACGGGCCGCCGGGTAATCTCGCCATCGCGCTTTTACTACTACCGTACTTCGCCGACGTCGATCTCTTCAACAGACTCTTAAAAAAATACGTTGTCACTCACCCGCATCTACGAGATCTCATACCGCGACTTCTCGAGCGTGGCGCCGACGTCAATCACCTCGATCGTTCGGGATGGTCGCCGCTCTACCGCGCGTCCAAAGCCGGCAACACGGCGGCCGTCGCGACGCTCCTCGACCACGGCGCGCGAGTGAACCAGCCGACGAAGCTCGGCCACACGCCACTCTACCCTGCCTGCTGGCACCGGGAGTACGCGACCGCCTCGCTCCTCTTATGGCGCGGAGCCGACCACGCCGCGGCGCTCCGTCGATTCGAGCGCGAGCGCCCGCAACACTACGGCGGAGAACGCCACGCCGCCGCGATTGCATTCCTCCAGACCCAACCCCGCGTCATCGATCGCGCGCGCATCAAGGCCTGCAGGGAGCTCCAGCGCGACCCGAACTCGCGGCTCCACCGCCTCGCGCACCACGCCATCGCGCCCGTCTTCGCGTACCTCTAAAGGGCGATCGTGTTTAGAGTCACTCGGCTCTACTCGAGCTCCGCCGTCGCGCCGAGCTCGACGAGCTTCTTGAGGATCTCCTCGGCCTCGTCCTTCTTGACCTCCTTCTTGAGCACGCTGGGCGCGCCTTCGACGGCCTCCTTGGCCTCCTTGAGGCCGAGGCCCGTCAGCGCGCGCACCTCCTTGATGACCTTGATCTTGGCCGTGGCGTCGAAGCCCGTGAGCTTGATGTCGAAGTACTCCTTCTCCTCGACGGCCTCGGCGGGCGCGGCCGCGTCGCCGCCGGCCGCGGCCGCGGGCGCCATCGTGACGCCGCCGCCGCCGCCGCCCTGGAGGTCCGCGTCGCTGAGCCCCGCCTTCTCCTTGAAGAGCTGGAGGAACTCGTTGAGCTCGAGCACGTTGAGCTGGCAGACGTCGTCGCAGAGCTGCTGCACCTTGGGCGACGCCGCGGGGGCGCAGAAGGACCGCGCGCAGCGCGCTGCTCGTCGCGGCACAGCGCGCGCGGCCACGGTCCGGGCGGTCCGGAGGGCGAACACCATGGTCTTGCGGTGCTGCTGCCCGCGGCGGAGTCGCTTGAGCGTGGCGGTCTTGAGGCGAGCCGCCGTCGAGGCCCGAGATGTTGATGCATGGAGCTAAAGTTGCCCCTCGATGAGACGATGGCCCGACCTCGATGCCTCGTAACCACAATTCTAGTAGTGATTGCATTGCTCGGTTCGCTGCTCCTCGGCATCCTCGCGCCGAGACCGCAGCGGCTGCCCCGCTGGAGCGACGGCACGGCGGCCATGGCCGGGCGCGTCGTCGCCGAGGGCTGGCGTTGTCGGGCCGGGCAGCCCCAGGCCGCGTGCATCCGCAAGCTGCTCCGGCGCCTGCGAGGAGGCCGCCTGCGGCCCTTCGCCGACCGCACGAACGTGTCGGCCACGAGCTGCGCGCCCGCGAGCGCCTGCGCGGCCGCGCGCGCGCGCGCGCTCGGAAGGCGCGTCGACGTCGTCGCGTTCGGCGGCAGCGTGACCGTGGGCCACGGCACGGGCGGCCGGTCGGGGAATCGCGAGTCCAAGTTCATGCCCTACGTCGAGCTCTTCGCCGCCGCGCTGCGCGTCACGAGCGGGAGCGAGGTCCGCGCGTTCAACTTCGGCGTGCCGGCCGCGGGCCCCCAGGTGCCGTCGTTCTGCTTCCACGCGATGGCGAAAGCCGCGGGCGCCGAGCCGTCGATCGTCATCCTCGAGTTCTCCGTCAACGGCCTCGACCGCCTCGGTTTCCTCGCGGCGGGCGTGCGGGCCGCGTACCCGGCCGCGGTCGTCGTCTATTTGGACGTGTTCTCCATGGACGAGCTCTCGATGCCGGGCTGCCGGTCCCTGGACAGGATCCCGAGTCTCGCGCCCAACGACATTCCGGGCGTGAGCCTGCGGCCGGGCTTCCTGCCCTCGGGCGACCGGCCGGGCTCCTTCAAGACGGCCGGTCTGCTCTACGGGAATCGCAAACGGGCCACGCGCATCCACATGAACGTGGAAGGCCACCTCCTCGCGACCTACCTCCTCCTCGACTTCTACGCGGATTTGCGCGGCTCCGGCGCGCGACGTGCGAGAGACTTCGAGGGACACACCCCCGTAGGCTCGACCGCGGCGACGCGTGCGGCGACGCGCCGAGGCCGCCCGCGGCGCCCGCGACGGTCTGCGCGACGCGGGACCCGCGCGTCTCCGGCGACGCGCTCCTCGCGCCGACCGTGTCCGACGTCGACGCGGCGGGCTGGCGCGCCGCGCTCGTCAACGACGACCCGAAGAAGCCCGTCTACGCCGTCGGCCCCGGCCTGTCGACGTCGCGCCTCGCCGTGCCCTTTTCGCTCGGCGCGACGTCGGAGGTGTTCGTGGCGTTCATGCAGTCCTTCAAGGCCAAGGCGCCCTACGGCGTCGCCGCGATCTCCGCGGACAACGCGACGCCGCCGACGCTCTTCGACGGCGGCGCGCTGCAAGATCGGCTACACCTGCTGATCACGCGGCGCATCGCCGTCGCCGAGCCGGGCCCGCACGAGCTCGAACTCGTCATGACGAACGAGACGCAGACCGCGGGCCACGCGTTCGCCTTCTACGGCGTCTTCGCGCAGGCCAATTTCGGACGCCGTCGGCCGTAAGGTTGAATTTAGGACGCCGTGTGCGCCCGGAGCGCCCGGAGCGCGGCGCTCGCGCGGCCCGCGGGCGCGACCCACCCCTTCTCGCGCTTGAGGCCGAGCGGCTGGACGCGGTCCACGGCCGCGTCCGCGCCCCAGGCCGCCGCGCGGAGCTCGAGGGCCCAGGCCGGCGCGCGGCGGGACGCGAAGGCGTAGCGCGCCGCGGGCGTCAGCACCTCGACGCGGTCCGCGTCGCCGTCGGCGCCCGGCGCCGCCGCGCGCGCGCCCGGGCCCAGGGACCGCGACCGCCGGCCGTACGCGGCCGGCGACCGAATCCCGACGATGGTCAGCACGTGGATGGAGCAGAGGCCGTCGGCGGCGCTCTCGTCGACGCGCTCGAGGTACGCGCCGCGCAGGACGAAGGCGCCGCCGTCCCCGGGCCGCCGCCGCGCCGCGCGCCGCCGCCAGAACGCCCACTGCGCGTCGTCGGCCGCCGCGGAGCTCTGGGACACGAGGCGCAGGTCCTCGCTCGGCCGCGCCCGCCACTGCCGCGCGGCCGCGGGAGCGCGCTGCGGCGACGCCCCGCGGCGCGGCGACGCGGCGCGGCGGGGCGACGGCGACCGCCGGGGCGCCGTCGTCGCGCGCCGGCGCGGCGCGGGCGACGCCGCGCGCTTGGGCTCGCAGGCCGGCGGCCGCCGCCCGGCGTACTTCTGGCGCAAGACCGCGAGCACGGATTCCTCCTTGTCCTTGGTCGCGCGCTTCATGAGCTCGTCGACGTCGCGGACCTTCTCTGGGTTGTGCTGGGCGTAGACCTCGATCATGTCGAGGCGCACACGTTCGCGCTTCGACATCTCGAGCGGCGGCCCGCCGCGGGCCGCCGGCGCGTCGTCCTCCTTGCCCGGCGCGAGCAGCGGCTGCGCGGGCGCGGCGTCCGGCGCGGCGCCCAGGCGGTAGGTCGCTCGGATCACCAGCAGCTTCGCGCAGGCCAGCTCGAAGGAGCCGTTCGCAGCTTTCAATTGCTGATAGACGACGTCGCCCGGGAGCTCGTCGAAGAGCGACGGCAGCAGCTCGTCGGCCGAGGGCAGCGTCTCCGCCATATGAGAATCAGCAGCAAATTTCCATCGTGACCCACGAAGGGTTCAACAGATGGTCAACAAGCACTTCAACGAGTGGTTGTGGAGTTTTATGGCCTCGCTTAATTGAGCAGCCCCCAGCGTCCGCAACGCCGCACTCAGCTTCGTCCACTTCATCGTCTTCCACGGCCGCGGCAAGCGATACACAACCATGCTCAAATCGCTGCGCCACGTCTTCGCGCCGACGGCTCTCTACCGCGGCGAGGGCGTCTGCGGCGGCGTCGCCCTGCACCGCGTCGGCGGCGGCGCCTGGGACGAGCGGCTGCTGCCGTCGAGCGTCGCGAGCGACGACGGCGCGCCCGGCGCGCTCGTCGTCGACGGGCGACGCGCGCGTTCGCCGGCGGCGCTCCGCGAGGTCTTCGACGTCGTCCGCGGCGCCGCGCGCGCGCTGGCCAAGACCGGCGGGCGCCTCGTGCTCGTCGGCGACGCGCGGCGCGCGCGGAGCGGCGACTGCGAGGCGGCCATGTTCGCGGAGGGCCTCGAGGGCTTCGCGCGGTCCGCGGCCAAGGAGCTCGGCCCGAGCGGCGCGACCGCGACGTACCTGCGCGTCGCGCGGGACGCCGACGGCGCGGCCGCGTCGCCGTCGCTGCGGTTCCTCCTGAGCGGGCGCAGCGCCTACGTCTCCGGCGCGAGCTTCGAGGCGGGCGCCGCGCCCGTCGCGGCCGTCGCGGGCGAGGCGTGGCCCACGGGCGACGACGCGCACTCGCCCGTGCGGGGCCTGCGCGTCGTGTTAACGGGCGGCGCCGCGGGCATCGGCGCCGCGACGGCCGCGCGGCTGAGCGACGCGGGCGCGGACGTGCTCGTCGTCGACCGCGCGCCGGGCCCGGGCGTCGACGGCGTCGTGGATGTCGTCGCGGCCGACGCGCCGGCGCGGCTCCGGGAAATGGCGGACGCCCGCTTCGGAGGGCCCGTCGACGCCGTGGTCCACAACGCGGGCGTCACGCGGGACCGGACTCTCTTCCGCATGGGCGACGACGAGTGGGACGCCTGCCTCGACGTCAACGCGCTCGCGCCCCGCCGGCTCACGGCCGCGCTCGACCTCGCGGAGGACGCGAGCGTCGTGCTCCTGGGCTCGACGTCGGGCGTCGCGGGCAACGCGGGCCAGGCCAACTACGCCGCGGCGAAGAGCGCGCTCTTCGGCTGGGCCGCGGCGGCGACGACGTACCGCGTCAACGCCGTCGCGCCGGGCTTCATCGCGTCGGCGATGACGGCGAAGATGCCGTTCGCGAACCGCTTCGTCGGCGCGCGCTTCAACAACCTCGGCCGGCCGGGCACGCCCGAGGACGTCGCGAACGTCATCGCCCACCTCGCGTCGCCGGCCTCCGGGGCAATTCGGGGCCAGGTCCTCCGCTGCTGCGGCGGCTTTTTGCAGGGGCGCTAGCTTGGTAATCCCGCGAGTTTTTTTTTACGAGCGCCGATTGTTGCCGTCTTCATTGAAGCGAGTGCGACGGGTAACGATGGCGGCATAAACCACCCAGCCAGACTCGGCTGCAAACGCAATGGAGTTCAAGGCCGTCAGCCCGCGCTTCCATGGCAAGCCCGCGCGCTACGACGAGGGCGGCGACAGCGAGGCGGCCATGCTCGACGACCTGCTCGCCGGCGACCGCTACTCGTCGCCGATCCGGAAGCAGCCGTCGCCCGTCGAGGGCCCGCCGGACGACGGCGGCGGGTCCGACTTCGGGTCCGACGACGGCGCCGACGACGCCGCGGACGCGTCGCGGCGCGCCGCGGCGGCGCCGCGGTCGCCGCGGCCCGCGCCGAGCCCCGGGAGGCCCGCCGTGTCCGCCAGGGAGGAGCTGCGCCTGAAGAACGCGCAGATCCACCGCATGGGCATGATGCTCGAGGCCCTGGCGCCCATCCCGGGCATCGACGCGCAGACGCTGCTCCGCGCCATCGACGACCCCATCCACGGCGACCTCCGCGACCAGAAGATCGTCCAGCTCGCGAAGAAGACGCGGAACGTCACCGTCGCCCTGACGCGCGAGCGGGACGTGATCAAGAAGCTGCGGGCCCACATCGACCAGCTCGAGGGCGACAAGAAGGCCCTGGCCGACGAGCTCGACGCGCGCGCGCACGCGGCGGCGTCGCGGCTTCCCTTCGCGGCCGCGAAGCAGGCCGAGGCGACCCGAAAAACGCCCGGCGACGACGACGAGGAGGAGCGGAAGAAGCCGTCGAAGCGCGAGCTCCAGCTCGCGAAGCAGTGCGCGGACCTGCGCTTCAAGTTCGAGGCCGCGCGCGACGAGTCGCACGGCCTGCGCCGCGCGCTCGTCAAGGAGACGGGCGACGAGTCCGTCGTCGGCAAGGACGGCGCCGTCGACGAGGGCTGGCGCGGCCGCGCGCAGACCATAGCCATGCTCAAGAACAAGATCCGGGCGTTGGAGGACGCGCAGCAGAATGGCTCCCTGCTCTCGTCCCCCGCCGCGAAGCGCGCGCCGCGGCCGCCGCGGCGCGACGTCGACGCGCTCGCCCAGGCCGAGCTCGACCGCAAGAGCGAGGCGCGGTCCGAGGCCATGGCCGAGCTCGCCCAGAAACACGAGGCGCTCGGCCAGCAGCTGGAGCAGACCCGCGCGAAGCTCGACGCGTCCAAGGCGCGGAACGCGTCGCAGGCGCAGGAGTGCGCGCGGAACAAGGAGCACATCCGCACGCTCCTCGACAAGACCGACGGCGACGACGAATTGGTCGCGGCGCTGCGGGCCGAGGTCGACGCCCTGCGGTCGAAGCTCCGCGACGCGCAGGCCGAGGCGCGGCGGAAGCCCGCGCCCGCGCCGCCGCCGCGGCCCGACGCGGAGCTCCAGCGCCTGCGGCGCGAGAACGCGCGGCTCCAGAGTCAGGTCGAGCAGCAGGCCAAGCGCGTGCGCGAGCTCCGAAAGGCCGAGGACGAGGAGCGCACGCGGCTCGCGCGCGAGGCGCAGGCGAACGACCCGGCGACGCTCCGGCCGGGCGACGCCGGGTGGTAGGGCGCGAGGTGTCTATAAAGAGGCGTCGAGTCCCCGAGGGGGCCGTTTTCTTGGGGGCGGGGGTCGGGGGGCGGTGTGCTAATTCGACGCGTCGGCCGCGTCGCTCACGACGGCCGGCCGTCGGCGGCCTTCGCGGCCGCGCGCTGCTGCGCGAGCGCGCCCATGGCGAGGATGGCCTCGAGGCGCGCGTCGAGAAGCTTGTTCTGCTTCTCGATGGTCTCGGCCATGGTGCGCATCTCCGCGCGGAGCTCCGAGATGGGGTCCTTCCCCCCCGACGCGATGGCCGGGTCCGTCTCCTCGTGGATGCCGCAGACGCGGTGCTCCCAGACCTCGCGCATGTTGAGCAGGATCTCGTGCCAGTCGGGCCGCACGCGGGGCACGCGCGGCCGGAGCACGCGGAGCGCGGACGCGGCGAGCTGCGCGGGCCCGTCCTCCTCCTCCATGAGCAGCTCCGGCAGGTGGAGCTCGGAGAGGATCTGGGCGATGGTGCGGTGGTCGTAGGTGCAGGCGATGGCGTGGCCCACGCTGTGCTTCAGGATCTTCCAGCGCAGCGCGGGCACCATGTCGAGCGCGCCGCGGAGGCTCGGCCCCGTGATCGTGAGCAGCTCGCAGGTTTTCCGCGCGATGGCCTCCTCGCAGCGCCGCGTGCAGCCCAGGGCGCTCGACTCGCCGAAGACGCCGCCGGGCCCCAGCGTGACGATGTGGCGGCTGCCCTGCGCGCGCTCGCGGACCGTCCGCCGCTGCGTCACGGACTCGCGGTAGCTGAGGCCCCGGGCGATGCGGGGCTTCCGCGCCGGCTTGGGCCCGAGCAACGCGACCTCGCCCGTGACGACGACGTAGGCCCCCTCCTCGGCGATGTCGCCGGAGCCGTAGACGAGCTCGGACAGCGGGATCGTCAGCGGCACGACCTTGGTGCAGACGTCCGCGATGAAGTGGTGGTTCGTGCCCTGGAGGAGGGGCACCTGGGAGATGAAGCCCTCGTAGAGGTGGAGGCAGATGTCGCTGCGCAGCTGGCGCGGCAGCTCCACGAGCACGCTCCGGTCCTCGGTCTGGCGCGAGTTCTGCTGCCTCACGTGGCGGACGACGCGCTGGCTCAGGTTGTTCGGCAGCGAGTTCGCGCGGAGGTAGGCCATGACGCGCTCGACGCGCGCCTGCTGCTTCCGCTCGAAGGTGTCCGGGTCCAGCACGTTGAGCACGTACTGGATGAGCCAGCCGAAGATCAGGCCGCCGACGGCCATGCCGCCCGTCGCGACCAAGCGCGCGGACGTCCGCGTCGACGTCATGTCGCCGTAGCCCACGGTCGTGATGGTCTGCATGGCCCAGTAGACGCAGTCGACGTACCTCGCTAAAATGCCCGCGTCCCGGTCGAAGGGGAAGACGAGCGCGTAGCAGCAGCCCATCCAGTGGGACGCCCAGAGCAGCGCGAAGAGCAGCTTCGTCGCGGAGATGAAGGGCATCCAGTAGATGAGCTCGTCCTGGTACTTGGTGATCAGACGCTTCAGCCGGAACAACCGAAAGAGCTTGAGCACGCGGAACACGCGCAAGATCTTCACGAGGCGGAACGCGCTCGACGACGGCTTCGCGTTGAGGCGGTGCGTGCACGGGTTCGTCACGTGGAAGGAGCAGGTCAGGCTCTTCGCCACGACGCGCGAGCTGAAGTCGATGGGCGCGCAGGCCAGGATGTCGATGGTGAACCAGCCCCGGAGGTAGCGCGCGGCGATGCGCTTCTTGCAGACGATGACCTTGGCGCCGCCGAACGTGTTGTCCATGTCCTCGTCGTCGCTGCTGTAGATGGCCGTCAGGAACCCGAAGGCGACGTCGATCAAAAAATAGATGTCGACGAGCGTGTCGAGCACGAACCAGAGGCCCACGGCCGGCCACGAGAACCCGAGCCGCATCGGGACGATGACCGAGACGTAGCACAGGCTCACGACCTGCAGCGCGTCCCACTTGATGCGGAAGAGGCCGTCGGGGTGGAGCACGGGAAAGTGGTCGCCGTCGCGCAGCTTGTGGAGCAGGGGCTTGTCCCGGGGGGGGTCGGGCCAGATGAAGCTCGGCGCCGACGACCGCAGCTCCTTGCCGAGTTGCGCCTCCAGCTCCAGGATGTCCGCGACCTCGAGGTCCTCCTTGTCCTCCTCGCCGTCGTCGTCGTCGGCGCCGCTCGGCCGCTTCACCATCGCGCGCACCTTCTTCCAGTTTCTCCTGGCCGCGCTGTCGCCCGGCGGCGGCACGGGCCGCGCGCTCGGGTAGGCCGCGGGCGCCGTCGCCGCCTCGGGCACGAGGCGCACGCCGACGAGCTCCGACGCCGCGGGGCTCTCCGGCGCGGCGCCGCCGCCGGACGTCGACGCCGCGCCGCCGGTGGACCCCGGCGCCGCCATGGCGTGGAGAACCAGACACCCAGGCCCCGAAGCAGCCCCCCGAGTTTCACTGCTCGTGAATTCAATGAATCTCGATATGATTCTTGATAAAGCGCGATCGAGAGAGCTTATGGAGATCGCACGCTTGTGACGCCATGGGCACGGGCGCGTCGTCGCCGTCGGGCTACAGCGAGGTCGAGCTGCTCGAGACCATCGGCGGCCTCTACGACGCCGAGGCGCGCAAGGCCTTCGAGTACCACGGCAAGGACGACGACGACGGCGTCCGCCGCGTGAGCGAGAAGACGTGCCGCCACTTCGCGAAGAAGCGGCCCTGGCTGCTGGACGCGGACAAGGTCGTCGTCGGGAACCTGCGGCTCCTGCGCGCCGCGCGGCTCGGCGTGGAGAAGGCCTGCCTCGAGCACCTGGGCGGCGCGTGCCTCAAGCTCACGGACCGCCGGGGCAGCGGCTTCGAGGCCGACGAGGTGCTCCAGCGGTCCCTGGGCGACGGCCAGCCCGTGCGCGACGCCGACGGCCTCTACGCCGCCGCGAAGCGCTGCGAGGAGGTCTTCCGCCACGAGGTCGGCGCGGCCGCGTTTCGCGCGGGCTCGGAGACGTTCGCCGTCTTGCCCCTCAAGAGCCGCGGCCGCGCCGTCCGGAAGGCGGACCGCGAGTTCGGCGCGCGGGGCAAAAATGTTTCCCACTTCTGCCGCCTCTACGACGTCGTCCGGGGGAACATCCGGTGCAAGGACGAGGCCGAGCTCGCCGGGGTCTACGCGTCGCTCGCGGGCGACGCGGTCCTGCGGATCGTCCGCACGCGGAACCGCTTCCGCTCGCCGAACTGGAACGGCTACCGCGACCTGCTCCTCACGCTCGCCGTCAAGGTCGGAAACGTCGACCACTACTGCGAGCTCCAGCTCGAGGTCGCGGCCGTCGCGGACGCGGGCAGGCGCCTCCGGTCCTACGAGGTCTACGTCTACTTCCGCGAGTTCTTCAGCCACGGCGGCCGGCGCGACGGCGAGCACGACAAGGTGCGGCTCCTCCTCGCCGGGAGCGGCGGCAAGATCGAGACGATCCAGGCCTACGTGGACCGGTGCCTCGAGACGTTCGCGGCTGTGCCGAAAACAACCGCTGGTTCGGGTGGTCCTGACCAAACTTGAGAATTCTCGAGCTCGGTCACATCGAAGTCGATTCGGCTGATTTTTGGACGGATCGATCGCTCTCGTCGAGTTCTCGAAGCCCAGCCGAAGAGCTTGTGTCAAAACATTCGAATACGCGCATATTGAAGTCGAGTTGAAGATTTGAATTCGGCACAGGTTCGCGGACGAGAGCGACGCGCTGACGCACCTCGTCCACTTCCTGGGCCACCACGGCCGGGAGCACATCCCGGAGGTCGCCGAGCGCATCGCCTGCCTCGGGAACCGGCGCACGGCCGTCGAGGCCGACTGGGCGCTGGGCATGTCGGCCATCGACGAGAAAGCGCTGGAGGCGGAGCTCCGCGACGAGGGCCGCTACGACCACGGCACCGCGCGCATGTCCGTCGTCGTCGGCCACCACAGCGCCGACGGCGCGACCTTCGATTTGTCGGCGAACGAGCTCGCCGCGAAGCTCATGCGCGAGTACAAGTACGTCGACGCGGAGCACCTGCTCCGGAAGGCGCTCGGCGTCTTCACGCGCGAGCTCGGCGAGGACCACCCCCACGTCGCGCTGGCCCTGGACAACCTGTGCGTGTGCCTCCGGGAGCAGGACAAGCACGCCGAGGCGGGGCCCCTCTACGAGAAGGCGCTGTCCATCGCCGTGCGCCGCGGCGGGCCCTGGCACCCGGACGTCGCGACGACGCTCGCGGGCTGGGCGAGCTGCCTGCGCCAGCAGGGCCACTACGGCGAGGCCGTGCCCCTCTACGAGCGGTCGCTGAAGATCTGGGAGAAGCACCTCGGCGGCGACCACGTGCACGTCGCGGAGATTTTGCAGAAACTCGCGCAGGCCCTGAACTGCGAGGAGGAGCACGCGCGGGCCATCGTCCACCTGCAGCGGGCCGTGGCGATCCGCGAGAAGCACCAGGGCCCGGACCACGGCGACGTCGCCGCGGATTTGGCGGGCATCGCGGACGCGCACGCGGCGCTCGGCGAGCACGACAAGGCCGAGGAGCCGCTGCGGCGCGCGCTCGACATCTGGGAGGACCAGCTCGGGTCGACGACGCACCCGCTCCTGAGCACGGTCGTCAACAAGTTCGCGCTGCTGCTGCGGAACCTCGGCAACTTCCAGGAGTCGGAGCTCTACTACCGCCGGGCCATCGCGATCTGCAAGGAGCAGCTCGGCGAGGAGCACGGCGACTACGCGAACGCGCTGCGCAACCTGGCGAGCCTCTACGAGCTCGTCCACAGCCGGCGCCACGAGTGCGAGCCCCTCTACCGCAAGGTGTTGAGGATCCGCGAGGCGGAGAACGGATCGGACGACCCGTCCGTCGCGGGCGCCTTGCTCGATTTAGGCCGGTCGCTCCTCGTCCAGGACCGCTTCGCGGAGCCCATCTTGCGGCGCGCGCTCAAGATCCGGGAGCGCCGGGGCGGCCACGACACGCTCGAGGTCGCCGAGACGCTCGACGCGCTCGCGACCGCGCGGTCCAAGTCGAGCGACGTCGAGAGCGCGCTGTCGCTCTACGGCCGCGCGATCGAGATCAAGGAGAAGCTGCTGGGCCCCGACGACGTCGCCGTCGCGTCGTCCGTGCACAATTTGGCCGAGCTCCACAAGCGGCGGCGGGACTACGACGCCGCGCGGCCGCTCTTCGAGCGCGCGCTGAGAATCGGCCGCGCGAAGCTCGCGCCGGACTCGACGCCGCTCGCGACGACGATGGCCAACTACGCGAGGTGCCTCGAGAAGCAGGGCGACCACGCGGCGGCGGAGGGGCTGCTGGCCGAGGCGCTCGCGTCGCGCGAGAAGGACGCGAAGGGCCGCGCCGACGTCGCCGTCGCGAAGACGTCGTTCGCGCTGGGGGCCGTGCTCGAGGCCCAGGACAAGCTGGCCAAGGCCGAGGAGCGCTACCGCGCCTGCCTGGCCATCTACGAGGACGTGCTCGGCGACAAGGACGTCCGCGTCGCGACGTGCCTCACGGCGCTCGGCCGCGTGCTCAAGCGGCAGCCCCGGAGGCGCGACGAGACGGTCGCGGTCTACCGGCGCGCGCTCAAGATCCGGGAGAAGAAGCAGGGCACGGACCATCTGGATGTGGCCTACTGCTACGACCACCTCGGCGCCATGTTGAGAGGCGCGGGCAACTACGCGGAGGCCGCCCCTTTATATCTCGCGGCGGCGCGGATCCGCGAGAAGCGCCTCGGCCCCGAGGACCCGCTGACGGTCAAGACGGCTCGCAATTATAGACGTGTCGTGCGCAAGCGGGACCGGCCCGCGAGCGCGGGCTCGTCGCGGCCGGGGTCGCCCCTCTCCGACGACGAGTCGTCCGTCGCGTCGAGCAGCTCCCGGTCGACCGCGTCCGGCTCGCCCGACAAGGGGCTGCGGTCCACGGCGAAGCGGAAGGCGCTCTGGGCCTTCGCCAAGGCGCGCACCAAGGGCGCCAACGCCTTTTCCAAGAAGCAGGCGCCCGAGCCCGCGCTCGGCGCGCTCGGCTCCATCGTCGAGAAGGGCGAGGATCCCGCGGCGCCCGAGCCCGCGGCGCGCGCGTCCGCGCGGCGCGGCTCCGTGCAGCGCCTCTTCGGCCGGTCCCTCAAGATGATGATGCACGGCGCCAAGGTCGCCGCGGGCGCGAAGCGGCCGCCGCGGCCCGTCGCCGCCCGCTTCGGCGGCGGCGCGAAGCGGGCGACGGCGCAGCGCGGCTTCGGCGCGACGTGGCGCGCCAAGGTCAAGGCGCCCGCGGGCGCGCGGCCCGCGGGCGCGGGGACGATCCTCGCGAACAAGCACGCGCGCGGCGTCCGCGCGGGCGGCCGCGCCTTCGCGGGCCAGGACGTCCGCGCGCACGGCGCGCACTCGGGCGAGAACTTCGCCTAATTAGGAACGAAAGACGCCGTAGTCGTCGGCGTAGACGCAGGCGACCGACGCCCACATGCCGACGAGGGGCGCGACGAACCAGATGCCGTTGGAGAGCCCGACGAAGAGCAGGATCTCGAACGGCGCCTTCCCGACGTAGCGCCGGTTCGCGATGAACGTGAGGAAGTAGATGACCGTGCCGTAGAACTCCTGGTAGAAGGCGACGAGGCCGACGAGGCCGAAGGCGCGCGCGGGCACGACGTCGTAGGTCATGCCCGCGAGCCAGAGCAGCGACGGGGCCAGCGTCGAGTGGCCGTTGCCCGCGTCGATCCAGAACCCGAAGGTCGTCTTGTCCGCGTAGGACGGGTCGTAGACGGCGTAGGTCGACCAGACGCGGCTCCAGAACGTCAGCGAGAGGCACTCCCGCAGGCCGCAGCGCGCGACGAAGAAGTCGCCGACGGCCGCGAAGCGCGCGGACTGCGTGTCCGCCGTCCGGCTCCGCAGCGACTCCGCGGCCTTGTGGATGTGGTCGATGCGGTAGGCCAGTGCCACCTCCCAGTAGCAGATGAGCGCGTTGAGGCCGACGAAGAAGGCGAGGCCGCACTGCAGCGCGCTGAAGCCGTGGAGCGACGCGTGCAAGGCCGTGGGGATCGCCGTGCTCGCCAGCACGTAGCCGACGACGACGTGGTAGACCTGCATCGTATTGTTTTGCAGCGGCGAGCTTTTGCAGCGGTGGTGGTGCTCGAGCAGCGCTCGGTGCTGCGGCTGCGTCGTTGGCGTGTGTCGACGCGACGATCTCGGGCCGCGACCATGGATCGGTCGTGTTGACCTCAAGTTTGCTTCAACAAACGGCGCCGCGACCGAGGAGGGGCCCGGAGTAGCGCCGGACGCCGTACCTCAGGTTTGACGCGCGCGCGGCGTTCGACGTGTCCATGGTCACGGGATAGTGCGTCTGAAAGCCGGGAACGCCCTCTCTTCGGAACTGTGCGCCGTGACCATGGACACCCTCGCGTTCGTTTTCTATGCGGGCGCAAAGTCGCTACTTTTCGGGTGCTCTCCCAGCACGCCTTCGAGGTGCTCGCAGCGCACTGCGCTCTCCTTTCGGCCGCCGGAGACGTTCGACGAACGCTATTATGATGTGCGAACGCGCGCTGATGCGCGCAGAGGTCTGGTTCGAGGCTGGAGAGCGCATACGGACCCGTCGGGCGCTCACGCCGTAAACGAGAGCGTTTTTTGCGAGCGCGCACCGCGACATAGTTCTGGCCCCGGACGATGGGCGGGATGTCCCCGAGCATGTACCCTACACGTGACGGGCCGCCGAAGGCGTCAGAGCGGTGCAGCGATGCGATCTGGACGCAACAGAGCTGGTTTCAGCCCGGAAGTGGTGCGTTTTGGTGCTGCAAGGACTCATTCGCGTCGCCCGATCACCGTCGCTGCACTTCGCTGGACGATTTGTCATCGCATACCTCCTGGACGGCGTCCTGAACAATCATCGGCGCCAAGACGGTACTCGAAACGTTCGCGCGCCGTCGGCGCCCAGATAGCCGCCGGGGACCCCGTTTTCGGACCTCGTAAAAATCGCGCGCCCGTGCGCTTCTCCGGTGCGCGGCGGCGTGTTTGTCCTTGGGGACGTCCATACGGGTCCTAAAATAGAGAGGGACGATGCAGGACGCCCCAAATGGCGTCGAAATGTGACTTCAAGTTGCGGGGGAAACATTCCCCAACGGACCTCAAAAACCAGTGGTGCTTCCCCCCTCATCCGCGACCGTCCTGTCTGCCAGAAGAAAAAGAAGTAAGGTTAGTGGCTCGGACAGCGGTGGAGGATCGCGTCCATGTGGACCATGAGGTCGGGCTTGACGTAGTGGAAGGCCGTCGACTGCCGGCTGAAGTACTTCTCGCCCTCGATGAGGTCGAAGCTGTACTTCGCGTACCAGTCCTCGGGCTCCCGCAAGAGGTGATGGCCCGGCGTGAAGGGGTGGAACCGCTCCGCGCCCGTCGCGTCGCGCGTGTCCGTGGGCAGGAGGTGCGCGGGCCCGTTGCGGAAGCACTCCGCGACCATGACGTCCTCGTAGAAGCCGTGGAGGTGGGGCTGGCAGAAGGGCTCGTCGAAGGAGTCGTAGAGGAGCGCCAGGGACTGGCGGTTGAAGGTGTAGCCGCTGCCGCCCGAGTTGAAGAGGTGCTTCTCGTTGCCGTTCAACTTGAAGCGGCGGCCGAGGAACAGGGGCTCGCCGCGGTCGTTGCGCGCCTTGACGGGCGGCGACGCCAGGTAGGCCTTGAGGTTCGACACCAGCAGGAACAGATCGTCGCCCCCGAAGTGGAAGTAGTCGAAGTCGTCGCGGTAGTACTCGTAGACGTAGCGCCAGTTCGCGCGCGTCTTCTGCCAGATGTTGTTGTACTCCTCGGGCCCCTCGTGGGGCACGCCCACGGCGCCGACGGTTTCGTCGCTCTCGTCGCTGAGGATGAGGGCGCCGTCGCAGCGCGGGAGCCACGTCTCCGACGCGGCCTTTCCGGCCGTCGCGTGGTGCTTCGCAACCGTGTAGATGACGCAGAGCACGCGCGGCAACGTCGGCGCCTCGTAGACGGGGCTCACGTCGACCAATTTCATGGCCCGGGCGTGGTAGGGCACGGCGCGCCGGTGGGCGTCGCAGGCCGCGGCGTCGAGCGGGCCCGCGAGATTCGCGCGGTGCCGGTACGGGTCGATCCTGGGCGCGTCGAACGGCGGCATGTCCACCTCCTTGTAGGTCTTCTTTGTCTTGCGCTGCCAGACCGGCGGCCGCGGCGCCGCGGGCGGCGGCGGCGGCGGCGGGACGACGGGCGCGGCGACGGCCGCGGCGGCCGCGGCCGGGACGGCGGGGACCGCGGCGACGGCCCGCCCGAGTTGCTCGAGGCATCGGACGATGGACACGTCGCCGGAGAAGCCCGTCGCTCGCGTGCACGCGTCGCAGCGGACCTCGTAGTAGGCGACGCCGAGGCCGTGGGCGATGTGCTCCGTGCTCCCCGGCCCGCCCGCGGGCATGATCTCCAGCAGCGCCTGGGGCGGCCGCATCCAGCGCGCGGCGTTCCAGAGGCCGCCGCCGTGCGTGCCGAAGACGACGTCGGCGCGCCGGACGGCGGCCTCCTGCTCGACGGGGGACAGGCGCATGAAGTCCGCCGCGACGACCGCCGCGGTCGGGTGCTCGCCTTCGACGGCCGCGAGGAGATCGTCGACGTTCGAGATCTCCCGGAGGGGCGTCGCGTCGCCGCCGGTCCGGCGCGCCGGCCGGAGGACGTAGAGGAAGACGAAGGCCGACGCGCCGCAGGGCGCGCCCGCGGCGCGGACCCGCTTCGCCCGGACGAGGCCGCAAAAGTCGACGGCCGCCGCGGCCGTCGCGCGCGTCGTGACGTCGACGAGCACCGGCGACGGCGGCGGGCGGCCGCGGCAGCCGGGCCGCGCGCGCGCGGCGAGCAGGTAGTGGCCGACCTGCCAGTGGGGGCCGTGCATGCCCAGGGGCGACAGCGCGCCCGTCGCGTAGACGGCCGCTTCGGGCTCGACGACCGCGTCCCACTCGCCGCGCCAGCGGCCGTCGCCGAAGCCCGCGAATAAAATCGCGTCGAAGGACGACTCGTTCAAAACGCGCGACACGATGCGGTAGTTCTGCCAGTCGCCGATGCAGTGGCCCGGGTTGCCCGTCCGGCAATCGCCGAACGCGACGTACGTCGGCCGTGATTTTTTTGGCGTCGACGCCGGCGGCGCGCCGGACGAGACGAGCACGTCGCGGCCGAAGGCCCAGGGCAGGTCCTCGAGGTACCGTCTGTCGCGGCCCCAGCGCGTGAGGTCGCAGAACGCGCGCCACTTGGCGCCGTCGAAGACGAGATTTTCGAACGTGCAGAACCAGGCCTTGCGCATCTTCGGCCCGACCACCGTGTCCATCGTCGGGCATCGGATCGTCGTGAACCCCTCGCAGACGGACCGCGTGTCCGCGAGCCGCGCCTCGTAGTGGTCCCAGCCCAAGTAGCCGCAGTCCGCCGGTCGTACGGTCGTCCGCTCGCCGCGGCGCGGGACCGTAGTCTGCTCGCCGCGTCGTGGTAACAGCGCGGCCGCCGGCTCGCCGCGGCGCGGGACGACGGGAAAGGCCCCGCGAGCGGTCGCGGGCGGGACGACGGGAAAGGCCCCGCGAGCGGTCGCGGCGGGCGGCGCCGCCCCGCGGGGCGGCGACGGCTCGGAGGCGCGCGGTCGCTCGAGCTCGGCGCTCCGCATCCGCTCCCAGAGGTCGATCTTGTTGTCGTTACGTGTTGCTTTGAGCCGTGACACGGCGACAGCTTTTTGGGCGAGTGGGACGAGGATAAGGGCGCTTATAGCGAGGAGAACCAAGCCTGGGCGAGGGATGGATGCCGCGCCTTTCGTCGACATGCTAATCTAGGCGAATCCGCTCGGCTCGACACTTTGACCTTCGCCGCCACCAACAGCCCCTCGGCGCGTCGCTTCTCCGCTCGACGCCGCGGACGCGCTGATGTGCGAGTTTGACAGCTTGCGCCCTCTCTCCCGGTTTTGGCCGCTGCGTTTGAGGCTAAAATTTAGCGAGCTTGCTCAAGCCGCACGGCCACGGCGCAGCCACAGTCCTGACCGCTGCTCGACTCGACCGGTGTCGCGCGGCATTTTTCTTCCCGGGGTATAGGCCGCCCACGTGATGGCTCCATTGATAAAAAAGTTACCCGCTACTACTTGTCCGCGCGCCCGCCGCGGAGCGCGGACATGAGGCCCGAGACGAACTTGCGGCCGCGCGACTTGCGGAGCGGCGCGTCCTTGGCGCCGTCGTCGTCGGACTTGGGCCCGTCGTCCTCGTCGTCGGTCTTGTCGTCGCTCGCGTTGCCGTCGCGGGCCTTGGCCGCGCCCCGCTTCTCCTTCTCGGGCCGGACCTTGGCCGGCGATCTAGCGCGGCGCGAGCTCTTGGTCGCCGCGTCGAGGATCGCGCCGACGTCGACCTTGTCGTCGCGGCGCCGGGGCCGCGCCTCGCGCACGAGGGCCTGGGGCGCGTCGCGCCGCAGGTAGACCAAGACGTAGGCCTGGGGCGAGCAGACGAGCTTCGCGTCCAGGTCGGACACGTGGCGGTCGTTGCACTCGAGCCAGCGGTCGCCCGGCCGCGGGCCCCGGCCGTCGCGCGCGTCGACGCGGCAGGCGCAGGTGTAGTGGCCGCCGCTGAGCCCGCCGATGTGGTTGACGACAGCCACTAAATCGTAGGTCCAGGGCGCGCCCGCGTCGGACCGGCCCGCGAACGCGAAGTCGTCCACCCGTAACCCGTCGAGCGGGAAGCTCACCTTCGCGGACCGCTTCACCTTGCGGCCCGTGCCCGTCTCGCCGAAGCGCTTCAGGTGCACGACGAGCACGGGCGGCGCGACCACGAGGCGCACGTCGCGCGTCCACTTGGCGTCGCGCTCGAGCTTGGGCGACCGCCGCTCCAACGCGTCGCCGTCGCCCTTGAACGCGGCCTCGAAGCACTGCTGGAGCGAGCTCTCGCGGCCCCGGTCCGCGTCGTCGCGCAGGGCGCGGTGGGGCTCGCCGGGCCGCTTCGGCGCGTCGCCGGCGAGCGACGCGTGGGGCCGCGCGAAGCCCGCGATCGCGTCGGAGCTCGCGAACGCGTCGCGCGCCGCGTCCAGCAGGTCGACGATGAAGAACTCGCCGTCCTCCAGGTCGTCGAAGAAGGCCGGGTTGGCCTCGTCGTCCTCGGGCACCAGGGCGCCCGCGTGGCGGTCCTCGCGCGGCGGCGCGATGGGCTCGTCGTCGAACGACGCCGCGCGGTCCGCGCGGCCCGCCTTGGCGCCCGCGAAGCCGCGCCGGTCGCCCGGCGACCGCGCGAAGCGGTCCGGCGACCGGCGCCGCGACCGGCGCGACGAGTAGGCCCCGCCCTTGTCCGGCTTCGTCGGCCGCGGCGGCTGCGCGCGGCGGAGCTCGAAGGGGTACTTGCGGCCGCCGACGGGGCCCTCGGCCGTGTCGTCGAAGAGGTGGCGCGGCAGGTCCGCGAAGTAGACGCGGATCTGGGCCCAGACCGCCGCGTACAGCGCGGCGCAGGAGCTGCTCCGCGTCGCCCGGAGCGCGAAGGGCGCGCCCAGGAGCGTCGGCCGCTTCCGGCTCAGGAAGTAGGGCGAGTCGTCGGGCGCGTCGAGCGCCGCGCGCAACGAAAACCGGAGCGCGCGCGGCCGGTTCGACTGGGACTTCACCGCGCCGTCGACGTCGTCGTCGTCGCCGTCGCCGTCGTCCTGCAAGATGCCCGCGTCGATGTCGTCCGGGTCGCCGCCGTCGGACGGCGACGACCGGTC